CGTGGGACTTGACATGAAACGTCAGTCACTATAAAACGTGGAATAACGAAACACAATTGACAGCTACGCAATTGACTTATAATGACAGATATGTAATGACGTAATGATGACAATTAGATATTTGTAAGAGATCTACTAAATAAAAAAAAGTCCAGTTTTCCATCCCGACGCTATAACTTCAGAACGAACGGACCAATTTCCACGGTTTTGCATTCGTTGGAAAGTAAGTAGATGGCGCCGGTGCATAATACATTGTTTGACAGCTACTCATTGTTCTCTGCTCAGTTATTTTATTTGACAAACCGGGATTGTGTTTGTAGTTTGAACTCTTAAAACCATTTAGTATTTGCGGGATAAATTTAGAAAATCATTGTTTTTCACATGGGCGTCATATTTTGTGTGTTTGGAAACCATCCGCTTTATTTGTGTTAAACTTAGACCAAAAAATAAAAATGTGGTTTACAAAGGAGCACTTCAATGAAACGTATAATTTGCCGACGCGTATAACGCTTCGATTCGGTAACTACTTTGGATTCACTTTCATTTACTTAGAGAAGTTCAACTAAATAACACTTCATTTTTGTAATCGAAATGAATTCATTGCTGTTGTGAAATGAAATAAAAATTTTATTTTTCAAATATAAAACAAAAAAATTCTTCATCTTTTAATGACCAAACGAAATGTTATATAAAAGCCTTCTGGTGTCGAAACGGAGTTCGCCGGGTTTACTAGTTATATATATTATTTCTGTCAAGAAGAATGATTTGAAGACAGCCTAGGGCACGCAATAATAAGTATTATTTTAAAATTCTAAATAGCGAAAGAAAGATATTTTTATCTTGAGAATTAATTTCCACTGTCTCATAAACGAGACAAACTTTATTAACTTTTCTTTATGTTTCTGTATTAAAATTTATGTTAACTCTACTTTTAAGTTACAATTTAATTTGAATCTCAATTTATTTTCCAAAAAGAGATCGTATTGTTTTGAATTTATATTAAGAAACTGAACGGGTAAATGTGTTTCTCTCCAAAACAGCACTGAAATTCATGTTCATTCAAGCGAGAATTTTCATTAAAATATACATGTGCTTACAGATGGCCATCTTATATGTTGTATATATACATATAATCTAGTTTATTAAATTTCATGTATGTATAACTTTTATTACTATTAGATTGAAATGATAAATAAAATACATATGTTACAAAACCTCAACAAAAGAATAAGTTAAATTCTGAAAAGCGTATTTATAGATATAGATTTTAAATGAAAATTATTACATTTCCTTACAAACATCGTTACAGTTGTTACGTACGTGCTACATATTAAGAAACGAATGAACATCGCCAGGGCAACATCGTTGTATGGATAAAATATCATATAACGAATGACGCTGCTGACTCCGCGGAACGAACACCAAGCCGTGAACCAGAAGATTCCTGATACTTCACAGGTTATGGAATAGGATTGTTATCCTAACATCGTGGTAATCATGTAGTCTTAGGTATAGGATATAAGTTTTGATATGTAATTCTTATTACAATATACATATAAGGAAGTTTTGTAGTTTTCCTGGAATCTCCGGTTGCCACCCTATATAATTTAGTTCAGAAATTTATTTATGTTTAACGCCAAATATAAAGAAAACAGATATATTGCTTATATATTGGGTAATTTACTTACCTTTATCAACATCATACATCGATTAACATTTTTATCGAATTTATTCTCCGACCAACTTGAAATCGTTACTTTGAGAAAAAATCCAGTTACAGTATGTTACAACAAATATTTTATATGAATAAACTATGATTAAATTAACAGCAGTCTGTATTCCATTCATATAATACTTAAGTTTATGAAACTTGAAATAAATATAGTGACTATATACGCAGTCCGTATTTTCAATGTATATTAAATGTAACCCAAAATAAAACAAGTGCACTCTCAAATCTCCTCAATATATGTTTAACATACAGCTGTGAAAGCGATAAGCATGAAGGCAGACTTAGTAACATATTCAAAAATCATTATGGAAGGTTCATTGAAATATTTAAATGAGGTTTCATATTTACAAATACCTCCGTCGCTGATTTAAATTCAATTTAATCATTGTAATACTTATGTTCACAGTGAAACTTTGATATGCTTACCACTTCTTTTATTGACACTAAACATATAATAATTTATCTAATAATGTATGAACTGTGTTTGACAATTATTTTATTTAAGCTTTATCTTCATTCAAACCGAATATGTGGAATTTTTATGATTATTTATAGAATGAGTTAAACATAATTTCGAACATTGCGTCGGGAAAACCCGAATTTGATAAATCTTGTTGCTTTATGATATAAAACTAGCGACCAGTCCCGACTTCGTACGGATGCAATGCTAATACTAAATACACTACAGAAAAACTGGAAACGTTGTATATAAAAATATTCCGTCCCGCTCCAGATTCTCACGGTTTTAAAATTTAAATCATATACTGTAAAGATTATATAGATCTTGATTAAATAAACAATGTAATAAAAGTATCAATTGGATAAGGATGAATTCTGTATTGGTTGAAATCGCTTCGAAAATTAATCACTATTTTCGTTAAGAGTAAATGACGAAAAGTATCATTGTGGGATAACCATAAGATATAGATAAATACCCTCGCGCATTTTTTACACCTTTTCAATGTGTATAATACTAAGTACATTATTTTGATCAATCTCGTATGGTTTAGCTTGCGTTTGCAATGAAAGCGAAAAATTGTAATTATTTACGACATCTCATTAGAAACCTCAAAAATAATATTTCTCTGCTATTTAATCGATATTATTATACATATAAAACTTCCTTTTCAAACATTCTATCTATTTATAAAAAACGCATGAAAATCCGTGGCGTAGTTTTAAAGATTTAAGCATACATACAGATATAGGGACAGAGAAAGTGACTTTGTTTTATAATATGTAGTGAATAAGATCCATTTGTTACGCTCTGATTAAAGAGCTACACAAAACCTAAGAAATATCACTTGAACTACGACTAATATCTTTATTCTCTTTGAATTGTTTACGAGTTTTAGGGAGATAATAACTTCAAATACTACTTCTAGACTCGTCTTACGGGACAATTTTGTTGTTTCTTATCCGTAACTCTTTTAATAAAAAGCCCCAACATGGGTCTAATTTTTATATTCATTATAGGAACCCTCTTAGAAGATATTATTATAGAAGTTGTTACTTTAAAAACATTAATGCATATTATGAGCAACAAGGGAACTCCATCATGGTTGGAGTGAATTTACACGTGACCATCATTTTAATAAACCACTGACTTCAAAACAATATTATGGTTTTTACTCTCTGCTTTTTTATTCTGTAAGAAAACAACTTTATAATCGGCTGTGAGAAGAAAAATGAAAAGATTAATTTGTATACAGTTAATAAATAAGTGAATATAATGATTTTAATATACCTTTGTGTTTTTAATATCCAATACCAAAAGGATTTACGTGTAGCATCAAAAATGGACTGATATTATAGACATTGAAATAAGAAATGGTTTAATGGTTTTCGGTCCTGGCTCAATTGATACTAGTACCTTTTACTTTTTTGTGCTAAAGATACTATATCTCATTTATAGTAGGAATCGATAAATTAAAAAATCGAATCTAATTGGCAATATATTTATTTCATATATAGGTATATCGGATTTAACAGGAGTTTTAATAAGAATTGATGACAGCCTCAAATTATTTTCATGTCGCATCCGTTATTAAAGCTGATAGCGCCGATATATATTATTTCTGAAAAAAGAGCAATCGAAGAAGTAGATCGCATAGTACAGGAAATTAAAGGCAATCAGAATATCATAGGTAAGATAGACAGTCAGACTCTTGCAATTATCACTAGGGCTAAGTAGCAGATAATATTTAAAAACATCTGTATTTTAGGTAAACATTTTGTGTCACTACTATTTAATAAGGATGTATAATTACATAAGGATTCTCGAGAAGGCAATATACGGTAAATATTATTGTTATTATTTTTTTGATTCTCGTAACCTACTATTCCAACTGATTCGTCATTCCAGTTTAAAAGGCTGGAGTTTTCTTTTTAAATCAACATGTGCGTCAAGTTTTAACAAAGCTTAAGCAGAAATACTCTTAAAATACAATATTGTTCAAGTGAAAGTTATGTTCAAGTGGTTGTCATTCACATAATTATTGTGGAAACATAATTACACGGTCGCGTTAAAAGTAGCGTTCAAACAATATAAATAATAAAATGGTTCAAGATTAAGGCGTTAACAATAAGATTTAAAAAAATTCAGTCTTCAATAGCTTTTAACCGACATCTAAGAAGGCGGAATATATTATATACTCTAAATGACCGGTCTTTGACCGATTGAAAAGTAAATTTGTTTACTCCTAGATTTTTTGCAAAATTAAAAATTTTAAATATTGCTACAAGTATACAAAATCTCAATAAAACAAAATGTTAAGCCTTGAAAATCCTTTTCACTTGTGAGATGTAGTCTTAAGACAAGTAAAGAAGCAATATACTGTATATTGCTTAATTTATGTTTCAGAAGTATTATATATCGATGACAACTCAACATTAATAAGTAACCTAATATGTGACTTACCTTGTTAATTAAACTGAATTTAATTCCTTTTATTCTTTTGCATTTGGATTTTTGTCTGTCTGGTTAAAATATTATTAGTATTTCTGCACTATTGAATCCTCATTATGTATTGATAAAATGTTTTATTGTCTTCTGAAGAGTATAAAAATATTAGCAACAAATAAAAAAAATGTGATATTATAAATAGTGTATCAAAAAGAATTATAATCCTATATAATTTAAGCTTACAAACAGAATAAAAACCTGTAATTGTTAGTTAGCTTGTGTATGAATTTTATATCTTTTTCTCACGCTGCTTGTATAAAACTTCATTTCTGATCAGTTTTTCCAACATTTATATCATACAAAATGGCGTCTGCCAATAAGATTCGGTTGAATGAAACAAAACCTTCTTCATCAAAGAAGCAGGTAAATGTTGTATTTAATCATATTTATTCGTTATTATTAGGTCATAGATTATAAAAGTAAAACTATTATTGAGATCTGAGATTTTCTCGAGTCATTTAAATGACAGTAATATTTTGCGGATATACTACGCGACTTTATTTTTGTTAAAAATTACATACTCTCGACGTTTTGGTTACTTTATAGCAAACAATAGCCTATAGCCTATTGAAATTTTATTATTTAAAATTATGAATTGCACTGTCCAATGTGAACAGGCTCTCCAAAAAATTAATATCTCAGTCCCATGTCGCCCTCCTAGAAAACCTATCAATAAATTGTTCTACATAGCGAAGTCATGCACAAATGTAGCTAGATATTCCCCGATAAATAGAATATGTGGCCAGTATAACGATCTGTGTGCATTAACCCAAAATATTGATGTTTTTTCCGATTCCTTGCCGAAGTTTAAGCGAAAAATTTGTGATGTTTTGTCAAGTCCTGTTAGTATAAGTAGTAGTACATAGTAGTAGTTAGCTGTAGTGGTTTGTTTTGATTGTTGTTTGATATTCTTTCTTCTTCATTTGTATTTTTTAAGTAATATTTTTGTTATTGAGTTTATATAGTCTTGTTATTTTTTTTTATTAACTTGTTTTTCTATAATAGTTTTGTAAGCTAGACAGTAATTTTTAGCAGTGCTGTGTACATCTATAATTGGTGCATACATCAGTTAGTGTTCAGTTTGAAATGTTTAGTTTTAAGTGCTTAATGTATGTACTGTCGATGTGCCGTTCAAATAAAAAATAATCATAATAATAAAACGCCCCAATTTAAATACAGAAGATGGCTTAAATCTACCAAACACCTGGGATCCTCTTGTTAAAAATATAAAATCCCATGTCCGTGACCACACCGCTGGACCTCCAGACACCGTGAGCTCATTCTGCCGGCATCCAGAGCGGTACGACCGAAAATTATAAATCGATGACGGTAGGTGATAAAATAACAAGACCAACTGACAGACACTTACATCTCGTTTGCAAGTGATCACGGTTGTTGTAAAGTAACCGAAAATTCTAGTGTATGTAGTATTTATCCAAAATAAAGTCGCATAGTATATCCGCAAATATTAGTTTTATAAAATATTATAATTTAAATAATATTTTTGTGTATTATGCTTTATTTTTTAAGCTGTGAATTTTATTGATTCGTTTTATTCTTAGTAACAGATCAATATAGAGGTATTGTTTCTTCAGTTATTATTAAAAAAACATGTCATATCACACCTCCATGATATGAACAAAAAGAATCAAATGATATACTAATAATACATAAGTGAAGTTAGTCGATTCCTAATATAATTTAACTCTAACAGGTTCACAAGTTCGTTTTGGACGACTATGATGCAACTTACAAGCTGGCGATAAGAATACTAAGAGGACTGTGTCTTAAATTAACAGACGAAGAAGAATCTAAAGCATTTAGGTAATAGACATACTTGCACGAGTGAAGGCCATATGTAACAATTATATTGGTTTCAAACTGTAGATATTTTTTTCTATCTTCAAATAAGTAATAATTACAAAAAAGTTTTTGATTACAAGTAAGTAAATTAACAGATAAAATAAATTATTAGTTTTGTAATATCTTTACTATGAAATTTTATATTGATTAGAATTATTATATTGGCAACAAAACAAGATCAATATAAATTTTAATATGTTCTCTAAACATGTTGTATTCTACTCACCATGTAAGTATGTATATAATGTTTCATTCCAGTACAATTCGTAACATGATCTTCTGGTTCATGATGGTGAATGTGTTGACAGCCGCGGTGCTGGAGAGCATCTGTATGATGATGACTGGCTCAGGAGGAACCCTCGTAGAGTTGTTTACTATGATGCCGTGTGTAGGCTATCTGTTGGTGTCTACGTATACTTGGGAATAACACACATTTATGACGGACTCTTACTGAGAACAAACCTTATATATCATTAATTATAAAATATATAAATAGAAGGAATAGTATGCACTCTTTATACATTTGTAGGATGGATATTTTTGAACAATATTAATATTTACTATTATTATAATTTTGACCCACGTTAATTTTTTGGTTTAAATTAGTATCTTTATCCGTTTCCTGAATTTTCTTATATTGTCTTCCGTCAGAGTGTATTCATAAATTAGAGATATTCAAAGGTTTTTATACCTCATAAAAGATCTAAGATTCTAGACATTCTCGGTTATCTATTGGTAGGTAATATAGGTAGGTAATTTATTTCGCAAACTTACTGCTGCATTTACATAACAATACTTACAACAAATCATTAAATTATTTTATGTTTTGTCTTTTTTCAAATCAGCAATGGCGAAAATCTACAAAATAAAGCGCTACAAGCCGGTGTTCATTAATCTGATGAGTGAATTGAGAGACATGTGGCCGAGAGACAACGTCACAGATGAAGAACAAACTATTATAAACAACGCGTTAAATAGACTGAGACTGGTTACTAAAGGTGAGAAATATATATACTTTACAAGAAAACTTAACCACAAATTTAGAAACTTACCTCACAAAATAATGTTTAAGATGTAGAAATTGTTACTCTCTGAAATTCCATTTGTTCAAATCCTGAATTTTATCAGTTCCTACTGACTATAATTATAGTCATATATGTTAAATTAGCTGATATTAACATTGAATTCTCATACAAACGTTATATAACATCTCCCCCAGCTTACTTCTCGTGTAATTCCATATTGGGTCTAATCTTCAGCCTGCCATCTATCGTCAACCTTATAAAGCCTCTGTTCGGTATCGAGGCGCCTCGTATATTGCCTTTCTTCTACTGGCTACCATTCGATCCTTACCAGGAAGTCATATTTGAAGTCGTGGTGATTGTGCAGAACTCACATTGTAAGTATTTTATATGCTCATCTTAATATCGGCCTAAAATATCTTATACTAGAAGACCCGGCGAACTTCGTATCGCCTCATAATCAAGAAATATCTGTTACTTTTTTATTTATATTTTTGGAGTGTACCTATTAAAGCCATAAATCTCCGTATTTTGAAGTGCGATAAAATGATTGACATATTAGTTAATTGTCAAATCTTATGTCAAAAAAAACCGTTTGTATCAACAACTACTTATAAATTAAAAATAAATTTAAAAAAACATTGCCCAGCGGACAAAATTGTGAATATAAACCATTCCCAGATCCCCTTGAATACACTCAAAAAATTTCATCAAAATCGGTCCAGTCATTTGAGAGTAGTTCAGTGACATACACTTCGAGAAGAATTATATATATAAAGATGTGATAAGTCATGTGTAGTCCTTGTTCTCTGTTCTAAATGTGTAGTCCTTGTTCTAATTCAATTGTTATAATAAGTACTGATACGCAGGAATATATCATTATTATTCACTATTTAACTTAATATTTTTATACATTATTTTTCCAGGTTTCCTCTCTGCAGCCTTCATGTTAGCTGGAGATCTCTCATTCTTCTCCTTCCTCAGTAACATCACTACACAGTTCTCCTTACTCGCTGTCAGGATTAAAAAGATGTTCTACGTTCCTATTGATGGACAACTGCCGGAGTCGTATCCACTTGGTAATTTTTAGCAAGTTTATATTTTCTTAGAAACATTAAATACAGTACGTGAAACACTTTCCATATGATTCAAATCTTTTTCGTACCAACAAAATATAATAAGATAAAAACAGGAGAGCCAACGACGCTACATAGGGATATACATACTAGAGCGTCATGGAGACTTATTGAGTTATAAAATGTTATATGATGTATACCTATTCATCGGTGGGCCGACTGTAGATTTTAAAAACCCTAAAGAAGCTTAGCATTGATATACTAAGCTTATTTAGGGTTCATCAGATATTAGAAGCATCTACTTATTTCAAATAATGTACGTATGTTAGTATGATCGTTTGCACGGTGAGGGTACGCAAGGGTTGAAAGTTAAAACAGGAAATGTATCTAACGAGTCAGATTTTTTAGCTGAACCTAAAAGATCCCTCATTCAATAATCCGACGATTTGTACTTGACGCAAGCTTGTGAATATAATTAATATTTGAAGACAATAATCACTCAATTTGAATACAAATAGGATTAATATGAAATATGTAAATTATATTATAGATCGTATTTATGAAATTTGTTACTTTTATTTCAGGATGTAGTAATAAAGAGAAATCATTAAATTATCCAAATCAGGACGCATCAACCAACAGAAGCAAAGTGAAAGAGGAAGAACTTAAAGAAATTATTAAAAGACACAGATCTTTAATTCGGTAAAGTATTTGGAAGTATGTAGATATACATATTCGTGTTACGAGACGTTGATTGGATGTGATACGCATTTTGGACAAATGGAGGCCATGCATTTAATTTTAATACACATTACCAACACCTAGAAATCTCGTTACTATATCTACCAAAATAAATCCATATTAGATTATGAATCCACTTTAAAATCTTTATTGCATTGCAAGTATATAATATACATATGTGTTGTCAGTATAAATTCCTTTACACATTCCTACTTTGAAGCTACATTATTTTATATTTGATGTTTTATAAAAAGATCTTTTCTTTGAATGTGACTTTATTATCTCAAAAACAACTTTTAAGCTCTTTTGAAATTAACATTGTTAAAGTCCAGTTAAAGCAAACATTTTAATGAAAATTCCAAACTTTGATAGACTGGAGTAAGAATGTAATACTGAGTAATGTTTTTTTAGAAAACTTAACAACTTTTGTCTATTTTATTTAATACTTTAACTTTTGTATTTTTTTCCAGATTGTCAAATGACGTTGAGAACATGTATTCGTTTTCACTTCTTGTGAATTTCCTAAACAGCTCCATAATTATATGCTTCTGTTTATTTTGCTGCGCGGTGGGTACAAAGACCGTGGAAATTAAACAATTATATTCACTTATTGAGTGAAGCGATCAAAACGAGCGGAATATTGTACTGACGACTCAGGTCATTCATCAAGAGAGCTGATCTCGACAACCAAATGTTCAATCGGTACCGAAACGGTGAAGTCGCTTCACTCAACTTGTATCGAGAGCTTTTGTGAAGCGAAGGGAAAAAAAACTGCACAGTGCATCTCCTAGTTATTTTGAAACGATTTAACACTCTTTTAATATTTTTTTTTATATTTTCAAATGAAATGAGTCTTTAATTCTGTTACCTCATCGCTTTATTATTAATTATTTTTCAGTTCGTTGAAAAATGGAATGAGTTTATATACAAATTATTCTTCATAACCGCCATTTCTCAAATATGGATACTCTGTTGGTACGGACAACATTTGGTCGACACGGTTTGTTTGTTTTAATATTAATATGTTTATATTAAAAAACAACTTATTATATCGAAAAAAAATTATAATTCTTTTTCATTATTTACAGAGCGCCGGTGTTGGGGAGGCTCTATATAACAGCGGTTGGTATGCTTCATCGAATAACATAAAGAAATCTATACTTATTATGATCCACAGGTAATGTAACATTATTGTGATGGCAAAATTATTATTCTAAACATTTTACTGTAATAAACGTTTGTTAAATATTTCAGATCCCAGAAGCGAGTGCACATAACAACGTTTGGATTTTCAACAGTGTCAATGGAATGTTACTCAACGGTAAGTTTCAGTATCACAGAGTAACGCTTCACTGAGTTCATCTCTGAGGTTATAGAGAGCTGGAGGGAATATCTACATGTCACGTATAAATACTCCGACAACGAATTTTTATTTACATACATTTTTTTAACGCCGCTATGCGTCAAGTGTATATTTTTTGAACTCTAATCGAAACTTAACAATTGGAACATACTAAATTGTGTTAAAAACTGTACACAGCATTTATTTAAAGCACTAGTACTTGAATTAATAAATAAAAATTCTCAACTTATATTGTCAATTCACACGACTTGAACTGATTCGAGCTAAGCGCATATCTTGTTATCCTCACTATAATTTCGCGATACAATAACTTTCATATTAATAATTTTACTTAAAACGTTGTAAAGGTTCTACATTTATTGCATAACGCCCATGAAATATTTGAATCTATTTCAATAACATCATCTTCTTCATTATTTTCAGATTCTCAAAACATCGTGGTCCTACTTCACTCTTCTAATTAATTTATACAAGAGATAATCATACAACATAACGAAAATATATTATAATGTGATTTATTATATTTTTATAATTTCTTTTAATATCAACATGTTATCAACATATATATATATATATTGTAATACTGAACTATGTATATAAGTTAAAATAGTTATAGAAGATACAGAATGAAATATTCGTCAACATTAGCGGTAATTGAACCCGCAACCACTTATACTATCTGTTATAATATACGCTTACTGATATTATATTGGTGAAACAGTCAGACAGTTTAGTATGATTACTTAATACGTGATACACATAATTATGTACGTCAAATAATTTCTGTATTGAAGATAATAAAACTTGGACTAAGAGTACTGTTGATATGAAATTTTATGTAAAGTCTTCATCGTCACGCTGTATACGAAGTTTTTCAGGTTTTATTCATGATTAACTTAGTAAATTTATTAGTATTAATGTAGGTGATTGAACAAGAAACGTTTAACGCTTCGTATGCTATGCCATGATGCGAAACTCGAACTGAGTATACCTACTCTTGAATAATTTAGATTGTCGTAATAAAACCAAAATATGTTCTGAGTTAAGAAGCTTCACTCGCTACAGATGTAATATTAAATATGTTATACTAAGAAATAATAGCAAGAGTTTTTACTGTAACTGAATACTATTAAACAAATAAGAATCATTATTAGACCATTGTATTTATGAAACTATTAGGTTCTCGTGCAAGTATAACAGGTGGTATTAACGTATATATGTATTAAGACTATCGTTCTGAAATTATTTTGAGTTTATTTACAATCGACGTTAAAAAGTATTTGTTAAAAATAGCTATGTTGGTTTCCATGTAACTGTTTTAGCTGATAGTAAGGTCCTAGCTTTAATTACTTTCCTCAACGTGTGACATTATAATATACTAGAAGACCCGGCGAGCTTCGTATCGCCCTATAATCAAAAAATATCTGTTACGTTTTTTTATTTATATTTTTGGAGTTTACTTATTAAAGCCATAAATCTCCGTGTTTTGAAGTGCGACAGAATGATTGACATATTAGTTTGTTGTCAAATAAAAACGTTTGTATCACCAACTACTAATAAATTAAACATGAATTAAAAAAACAGTGTCCAGCGCACAAAATTGTGAATCTAAACCATTCCCAGATCCCCTTAAACACACATAAAAAATTCTTCAAAATCGGTCCAGTCGTTTGAAAGAAGTTCAGTGACATTAATATATATCAAGCTTGAATCCTGATTACTATTCATATATGTAATATCGATATCATATCCGATATATGTCAATACAATGTGAATTTAATCGATACTTGAATCGATTACTCGATTAGTTTCACAATAATTACCAAAGTGTTCATCTGGTTTAAAGTCTTTGATGCCATATTAAGAAACTAAGTGATTGTTCACTGAACCATACTGCTACTTGACTTGAATGAAGTTTGTCGAAATATCGACTTATATAAAACACAAACTAACGGAGGGTGTTAATAGAGTTAAAAAAATATTAGTTTTAAGTAAAAGATTTTATAGAATTTAATTTTCTGTACTTATCTTTACCCACATCATAGTTCTATTAACATCTTTATCGAATTTATCTATCGACCAACTTGAAATTGTTAAATTGACAAAAAAGCTACTTACATTGTTCTACAACAAATAGTTTATATAAATTAACTATGATTGAATTGACGTCAGTATGTATTTCATTTATATACTCTTTATAAAGCTTATATTACATACTGGAAAGCTATCGTTTGTCAAAAACACAAACTGCTATTGAGGAAGAAGGAAGAGTAGGAATAAAAAGATCCATCGTTTGATTTCTAGCTACTTTACCACACCTACCACCTGTAGAAATTGCGTGTCCGTACATCAATTGATTTTGAAGATTCTTTTTTAATGCTATGGCTTCGTTCACATTGAAATAGAAGAATATTATGATCATTTTATGTTTATTTAATGGATTATTTATAATGTAATTTGAGATACTGTATGGAAGAAAAGAGAATTTGGTAAATTTTGTGGACGTAAAATAAAAATAAGTTCTTGACAACTTTGTTGTTTCTTTTCCATAACTCTTTTAATAAAAGTCACAACATGGGTTATATTTTATATTTATTATGGGAACTCTCATAGAAGATATAATTATAAAAGTTGTTACTTTAAAAACATTAATGCATATTATAAGCAACAAGGGAACTCCATCATGGTTGGAGTGAATTTACACGTGACCATCATTTTAATGAACCACTGCCTTCAAAACATTATGACTTTAAATCTTTGCTGTTTTATTCTATAAGAAAACAACTTTGTTATTGGTTATGAGCAGAAAAATGTAATAATAAATTCGGATACAGTTAAGAAATAAGGGGATATTGAAGCTTTTATATTATTTATTTCCTGATATAATTTTTTTATAACTCCTAGTCATCGGTCTTGTGTTTCCAGATCAATTTAGCGATGAAATGATGTTGATATCTACTACTTCTTCTTTTTTCTCGTGCTACAACATATTAAGTCGTATTAATAGTATACTAAGTTATTGATTACTTATATAAATCAAAACCTTGGATCACAAGTCGCTACTGCAAAGACCCAAACTTGTTCCAGTGGTTAGGTTAGGTTAAGAACTCAGAAAACAACAAGCTTGAAATACTCATTTAAGTACCATCTACAGTTCCAGATGAAGCCATGGTCATTAATGGACCATCTCACATGGACTATGGCACCATTTAATCGAATTCAGGTTTAAACCACTCTCAGACTGAAGTTACGAAGTGAAACATTAATTTAACTGTAGACGTTACTGATTAAAAATTTAGGTTTCTTAAAATTTTATTGTTAATTATTCTTATAACAGAAGACAATGTTAAATTTTGTTCTAGATATCACACTTTCAGATTGGTTGATTGGTTTTTCTATGATAAAACCGACCATATATTTAATACATATCTATTTCACATCATTAAATCTCATGTGTCACAAATAATGAACTTGTCAACTCGATGTATAAAACACAATAGTTTTTTCTCCCAGATGACGTCAACAAAGACAATCACATTATTCTGTTCCAAACTTAATACACAACACATGACGTCATTAGTTTATAAACTTTAAAAAATATATTATGCTGCAGTATATTTTACAGAGTTTATAAAACTTACAAAAACATTTTCACCAACATATTCTGGAGGTAAATCATTTTTATAATGGTATCTCGAAACATTGACACTGTTTTCTTTAAATAAATTGTAATTACATTTAAAGCGAAGCTAATTGGCAAACAATACCTATTTCACTTTACAATTACATTGATAACATTGAACTATAAAAATCAGTGGCAAAATAAAAAATACTTAACACTTTATAATAATAATAACCAGATTTGTTATTTCATGATATATTGGATAGAGTTAGAAAAACTCATCGTTATTACTTCATTTACGAAAAAAACAATACTCCTTTTAAATAACTATCTTAATTGTTTGAAATAAAAAACTATATAAGCAAATTGGAATTTAGCTTTAACATCTAGCATGGTAAAGAGTTCTGAATACAAAGTCCACTCATTTAAGTTCGTACGTTCCCTATTATTTAGAACATAATCCGTAAAGCTTTAAACAGTTATTCTTAGCTTCTTATAGAAATGAACTACTTTAAATTATTATTCTAAAATAAAGACATAAATTCTAAACATTCTATTTATAACATTTACAAAAACAGTACACAGGTGGTTTGAAATTTGGACCAATGGAAAGGCCATAGGATATTTTTAACCAAATAAAAAATAGTTCTGAAATTGACCTGTATAGATATGTCCGCAATGATTTATTATTAACATTGTTATTAGTGATATTAATACAAGGTTTTCGCTATAGAATGGCATAATTTTGAAAGAGGTGGTAGTGTAAAAGGTTTTGGGAACTGATGAAAGAAAACCATGAAACTCCTGAACAACGTGCATCAAACAACTGATGACTACTGTAATTATCATGTTTTACCTTGATCTACAAACTGAATTTTGATCACAGATATGTTCTCTTTGAAAGTAGCTTTCTCAGGGATTGTTTTCGGACAATAAAGAGAGCATCTGATGATGGAACCCTGAGGAAAACTCTTAAAATGTAAGTCGTAAATAGTGTTTTAGTCTATTTCTAAAGTTTAAATGGTGAGCATAATTAATTACATAACTAACAAATGTCAAACATATATTATAAATGCGACAGTCTCTATGTGTTTGTCACGCTTCCACGTCAAAACTACCAAATAAATTGATATGAAATTTTGATGCTCCAAAGTATTGTATGTAACATTAGCAAAAACAATGACCGGAGTAGAATGTTAGAGCACCATAAGCTGTTGATATGGGATAAATATACGATGTCCCACAAAAGGTCAAGGGAAGAACTTGATCGCACAGAGAAAGGAAATTAACGGCAATCAGAATATAATGGGCGAGATGGTGGTACTAACAGTAGGACTCTTCCGATAATTACTAAGAATACGTCGCAAATAAAATTTAAACACATCTTTATTTTAAGTACACATTTTGTGTTACCGCTATATAATGATGAATGTACATACTCGTATATATATACACAACGATTCTCGAGAAGGCCAATATGCAGTAATTATTAAAATCGAGAAAATATTTTGATTCCCGTAACCGTAACCGTAATAAAATTATTATAACTGATTCGACATTCCAGTTTAACAGACTGCAGTTTTCTTTTTAAAGCAGCATGTGCGACTTTTTTTCACAAAGTTTGAGCAGAAATACACTTAAAAAAACAAAGTTTTCTTTCTCCTGAGCAACTTTACGTAGCGTGCTCACGGGTAAAATTATAAAGTACGTTAACAAATGTCGAATAAAGACAAACATTTTTCACATTACTAACTAATAATATACAACTGAAAGTGATGTTCAAGTGATTGTCATTCACATAATTATTGTGGGCATATAATAACACGGTCGCGTCAACAGTAGCGTTCAAACAATATAAATAATGAAATGGTTGAAGACAGGGGCGTTAACAATTACATTTAAAAAATAAAAAACATTCAGTCTTCAATAGCTTTTAACCGACATCTACGACGAAGGTATATTTTTTGATATGCTCCACGTGATCGTTCTTTGATTCTGACATACACATAAATAATTTGTATAGTAAAAATAAACATACACACTACTAAATTGGTGGGAAAACTAAATATTGCTACATACATACGAAATCTCACTAAAACAGAATGATAAGCCTTGAGAACCATTTTCACTTGTAAAACGTAGTCTTAAGACTAATAAGGATAGTTATATACAATGCTTACTTTATGCTTCAATAGTCTTATTACTTATATTTCCCTAACAACCAGTATTTCCTAATTCCCTTGTAATTTGTAACCTACTATTAGATTTAACTTTTAAATTAAATTATATTAATTTTTTTTGCATTTGGGTTTTTAGGTTTCTGGTTTATACATTATTATTATTTCTACCATACAGAATCGTCGTCGTCTATTAATAAAATATATATGGTGATAAAAAAAGTGTATAAAACGATTATAATCCTATATAATTTAAGTTTACAAACAGAATAAAAACCTGTAATTGTTGGTTAGGTTGTGTATGAATTTTATATCTTTTCTCACGCTGCTTGTATAAAACTTCATTCTTGAACTGTTGTTCCTGCATTTATATCATACAAAATGGCATCTGCCTTACATAAGAGTCGGTTGAATGAAACAAAACCTTCGTCATCAAAGAAGCAGGTAAATTTTATATTAATCATGTTCATTCCTTATTATAAGGCTATACAATATACATTATAAAATTAAAAATATTTTTATTCAGGTTATATTTTTATATTTTATTTTTTAAGCTGTGATTTTATCAAGTTTCGTTTGTTTTTCTTTTTCATTAGTTATATACCAATATGAAGGTATAGGTTATTTTTTCAGTTGCTAAATGTATCCTCCGTTGATAATATGGTATTCTAATAATATATGAAGTTAGTCGATTCCTAATATAATTTAACTCTAACAGGGTCACAAGTTCGTTTTGGACGACTATGATGCAACTTACAAGCTGGCGATAAGAATACTAAGAGGACTGTGTCTTAAATTAACAGACGAAAAGGAATCTAAAGTATTTAGGTAATAATCATACTTGCACAGATGAAGGCAATATTTAAAACAACTAACGAATATTCATACTATATGAATGAATGAAGAAATAATAACAAAACAGTTTTTGACCATAAATAAGTAAATTGACAGATAAAATATTATTCGTATTAGAATATTTTATAAGGTGGTAGAGCCTAGCAGTGGTCAGTTACTACAGTTCGAACATGGGCTGGCTCGACCGGGGAAGTACCGCCCTTTCACAGAAGATCGGCGTGAAGTAGCCTTAAATGGCTGCGTTTCGTCCGATGAGTGAGAGAGCCGGTTGCCCTTTCCCTATTCCCACCCTTTCCTACTATTTCCTTATTTCCACCCCTCCCTATCCCTAAAAACAAAGTTGCCAACGCATCCGCAACAATGATATTGTGGATGTGCATGGGCGACGGTAACCACCTTCCATCAAGTGGGCCGTCTGCTCGTTTGCCACCTTTCACATAAAAAAATTACTTAGAAATCTGATATTGATTAGAATTATTATAATGTCAATAAAACAAGATCAATTTAAAGTGTTCTTTAAAGACTTAACTGTATTCTACTAACCATGTAAGTATGTATGTAATGTTTCATTCCAGTACAATTCGTAACATGGTCTTCTGGTTCATGATGGTGAATGTGTTGACAGCCGCGGTGCTGGAGAGCATCTGTATGATGATGACTGGCTCAGGAGGAACCCTCGTAGAGTTGTTTACTATGATGCCGTGTGTAGGCTATCTGTTGGTGTGTACGTATACTTGGAAATAATACACATGTACGACGGACTCTCGCTGAGAACAAACCTTATATATCACTTTTTATAAAAGTATAAATAGAAAGAATAGTATCCACTCTTTATCTTTTAGTGGAGCGGACATTTTGAATAGACAATAGATTTATTATAATTTTGTACCAAGTTAATTATTGATAAAATTTTATTATTTATGGCATCGTAATGTAACCAGTTTCTTGAATTTTCTTAAATAGACTTCCTTCATAATTTGTTTTATTAAGGGACTTATTCATAAATAAGAAATATTTGAAGATTTTTTATCTAAGATTAGGTCTGAGACTTTACACATTTTCTATTATTTAATGGTAGGTATATTTCTCAAAGTTACCTGCGACACTGAAATAACAATACTGACAAAATGAATTACATTTAAACTATGTTTTTCTATATTTTTATTTGTTATTTAATTTAGCAATGTCGAAAATTTACAAAATAAAGCGCTACAAGCCGGTGTTCATTAATCTGATGAGTGAATTGAGAGACATGTGGCCGAGAGACAACGTCACAGATGAAGAACAAACTATTATAAACAACGCGTTAAATAGACTGAGACTGGTTACTAAAGGTGAGAAATATATATACTTTACAAGAAAACTTAACCACAAACTTAGAAACTTACTTCACAAAATAATGTCTAAGATGTAGAAATTGTTACTCTCTGAAAATTCCATTTGTTCAAATCCTGAATTTTATCAGTTCCTACTGACTATAATTATAGCCATATATGTTAAATTAGTTGATATTAACATTGAATTCTTATACACACGTTATATAACATCTCCCCCAGCTTACTTCTCGTGTAATTCCATATTGGGTCTAATCTTCACCCTGCCATCTATCGTCAACCTTATAAAGCCTCTGTTCGGTATCGAGGCGCCTCGTATATTGCCTTTCTTCTACTGGCTGCCATTCGATCCTTACCAGGAAGTCATATTTGAAGTCGTGGTGATTGTGCAGAACTCACATTGTAAGTATTTTATATGCTCATCTTAACATCGGCCTAAAACATCCTATAGGTCATAAGTCATGTGTAGTCCTTGTTCTTATTCAATTGTAATAGGAAGTACTGATCTGTAGGAATATATCACTATTATTCACTATTTAACTTAATATTTTTACTCATTATTTTTCCAGGTTTCCTCTCTGTAGCCTTCATGTTAGCTGGAGATCTCTTATTCTTCTCCTTCCTCAGTCACATCACTACACAATTCTCCTTACTTGCTGTCAGGATTAAAAAGATGTTCTACGTTCCTATTGATGGACAACTGCCGGAGTCGTATCCACTTGGTGATTTGTAGCATATTTATATTTTATTAGTAACATTAAATACAACATGTGAATCACGTTCTTAAACGATTCAAATGTTTTTCGTACCAACAAAATAATAAGATAATAGCAGGAGAGCTTACGATGCTACATGGGGATATACTCGAGCGTCATGGAAACCTATCGAGTTATTAAATGTTATATGATGTGTACCTATTCATTGGTGGGGGGAGTGGCTGTAGATTTTAAAAACCCTAAATAAGCCTAACATTTACATACTCTAGATCGTCAGATATTGAAATCATCCATGTCCTACTAATTTTGCATTATTTATGTATGTTAATCTAATCGTTTGCAAGGTGAGCGTGGTCTCACGCAAGGGTTGAAAGTGAAAAAAGAAATTAATCAACCTGGTCAGCATTTTAAGTGAACATAAAAAAGCCTTCATTCAATAAGTCGACGCTTTGTACGTGACGCAAGCTTGTGAATATTATTTGAATTGAATTCAATAATGACCCAATTTGAATACAAATAGGATTAATACGAAGTATATAAATTGTATAATCGATCGTAATTATTAAATTTTTATTTCAGGATCTCAAAACAAAGAGAATTTATTAAATTATCCAAATCAGGACACATCAACCAACAGTAGCAAAGTGAAAGAGGAAGAACTTAAAGAAATTATTAAAAGACACAGATCTTTAATTCGGTAAAGTATTTTGAAGTAAAAATCTTCGCTCTTGACAGTCGTTGCTATGAATCCGGCACAAATGCAGGCCATAAATAATATTTGAATTATTACCAAAAACTAGCAATCTATAACAATAATATAAAACATATATTTTTGTCAATATAAATTCAATTTAAATTATCAATCTATTTTGAAAGTTTTATAAGCACATATCACACATATAAATCAAGTATGTATTGTACATATGCATACCTTACCTTCAAGGAACACGATTTTATATTTGACTTTTAATAAAAGTATCTTTTCTTTATTACCTCAAAAACAACAGACTTTTAAGCTCTTTTGAAATTACAATTGTGAGAAGTCCAGTTAAAGCAAACATTTTAATGAGAATTTCAAACTTTGGTGAACTGGAGTTAGAATGTAATTCTGAGTAATATTTTCAAGGAAAGTTATCAATTTTTATAAATTTTATTTTATGTTTTAACTTATGTACTTCTGTTATAGATTGTCAAATGACGTTGAGAACATGTATTCGTTTTCACTTCTTGTGAATTTCCTAAACAGCTCCATAATTATATGCTTCTGTTTATTTTGCTGTGCGGTGAGTACAAAAACCGTGGAAATTAAACAATTATATTCACTTATTGAGTGAAGCGATCAAAACGAGCGGAATATTGTACTGACGACTCAGGTCATTCACCAAGAGAGCTGATCTCGACAACCAAATGTTCAATCGGTACCGAAACGCTGAAGTCGCTTCACTCAACTTGTATCGAGAGCTTTTGTGAAGCGAAGGGAGAATAAACTCCGAAGATGCATCTCTAGTCATTTTGAAACGATTTAGCACTCTTTTAATATTTTATTGTTTTTTTTTTTATATTTTCAAATTAAATGAGTCTTTAATTCAACAGAATAGGTAACAACCTTACCGCTTCATTATTAATTATTTTTCAGTTCGTTGAAAAATGGAATGAGTTTATATACAAATTGTTCTTCATAACCGCCATCAGTGCGGTGCGTGCGCGCGGCCGTGGCAGACGTGCTGTCAGCGCTTACATAACGATGGTGATTTCTAACGTGATTAAGTGTAATAATTGCAATGTTGTTATTAATGAGCTACTCGCCTTCGTTAATAATAAAATTTCAGTGATGGACGATGATAGTATTAGTAAAATATGCACAAGTGCTTTCTCCGAAGTTGATATTGTGACGGCAAAGAATTTGCTATTCGAGTCGTTGCCGAAAAAGAGGCGCAAAATTACTCGTAAAAAAGATGGCAAATCAATAAGAGATATAGATGACATTATCTGCTTATTAAGAACCACCGATTGTGAAGATATTCCAGTGTTTGTGGCCCGAGATCTTGAAAAATTACCGCCCGTATTGTTTGACCATGTCGACGTAACTAGACTCCTTAAAGACTTAGTCAAGTTGCAAGAAGAAGTCAAGGTAATCAAAAAAAGACTATGCGACTATTGAGAGCTTAAATGCATTGAAATGCGACGTCGAAATCATAAAAGAAACGTTTAGTGTCAATAACTACCCCGTTAATGTAAACAATAGACGTGGTGCTTGTTTACTTGATAGTTTTGAGTGCAATAGTGGCCCCATGGGTTTACCGCCTATAACCAAAGATACGGATAAAAATGATAATCAGAATATTTGTTTAATATCAGAAGATCGTAAATATAAAACATCAACATTTTCAAACGAGGGTAGTTTTTGTTCGCTGAATTCAAATACAATGACTCAACAAGAACCGAAGTTAACGGCAGCGATGACTCATTCTGCTCAGCTGAGTAAACCGTCGGCCATACCTACTACTATCGTAAACCGGTCCGATAAGAGCGTGAGACACACGGCGTACTTAGGTGAAAACAACACAATGATGTCAAACACAAAAACGATCGCTGAAATTGTTCGAGAAGGAAAATGGAATAAACAGAAACAGGATGATGAATGGATTCGAGTACAAAGGAAAAGAACTCGAAATCGTTTTATGGGACACAGAGGAAAGGCTATTTTAGAACCAGGAAATAAATTTAAAGCGGCGGAAATTAAAATTCCAATTTATATTTATAATGTGTCAAAGGAAGTGTCAGTGTGTGATATTCATGCTTACATTAAAACAAAGACGACCCTTGATGTTGACATAGAAAAAATTACTATGAAAATAAAAAAAGACTATGAATCCTACAAAATTTTTATACCTAAACATAAATTAGAATTGTTTATGTCAGATGAATTTTGGCCGGAAGGAGTGGCTTATAGGCGATTTTTTGACTTTAAGCAACGTGTGAATGGCAACGCTTACAAGAATACCGAGAATAATCAAAAAGCAATATGATTAATAAAACTAAATTAGTTACTTTCAACTGCAAAAATATTATAAGATCTGTGAATTGTGTGCGGGGCCTATGTGGTCTGGCTGATGTTATCGCGCTGCAGGAAACCTGGCTGATGCCCCATGACCTAAGTTTTCTGGGTAGTATCGACAACAACTTCGCCTACACCGGTACGTCAGCTGTGGATACATCGGCAGGAGTACTTCGAGGTAGACCATACGGTGGTGTGGCCTTACTCTGGAGGAAAGATATGTTTCCTATGGTGAACGTTGTGAAGTGTAGTAGTGCGCGGCTTGCGGCCATTAAAGTCACACTCAAAGATCGTAGTGTTATGTTTTTCTCTGTGTATATGCCTACTGACTCTAGTGAAAATTTAGTCGAATTTACTGAGTGTCTTAGTGAGATAACCGCTATAATTGAAAGTCAACACGTGGACTCAGTTTTTATGCTAGGGGACTACAACGCACACCCTGGTGAGTTGTTTGAAAAAGAACTTATATCATTTTGTTCAGAACAAATGTGGTCGTGTTTAGACATGGACTTATTACCATCGGATAGCTATACGTTTGTTAGTGATGCACACGGTTCGCGTCGCTGGCTCGATCACTGCCTGGTGACTAGTGCCGCCCGGCCCGCCGCTACTTCTGTGTGTGTACTTTATGATACCTATTGGTCTGACCACTATCCTCTACTGATAGAATGTAATCTAAATGTAATAACATCTAAAATAAATGTAACAAACAGGTGTGAAAATAAAATCATATGGGGTCATCGACATGGTGAACAATTATCTAAATATCACAATGAATGTCACGTAAAATTGTCAAAAATTGTTTTTCCGAATGAATTGATGAAATGTTGTGATAGTATGTGTAGTAATACACATCATAGAACACAAATAAACCAGTTATATGGTAATATTGTACATATTCTCTCCGAGGCTGCAGTCTGTAGTCATATTGTTAGAGATAATTGTAAACATAAATTCCTTATTGGTTGGAATAAGCATGTGCGTGACGCCCACGTGAGGGCGAGATTTTATTTTCACAACTGGATACTTCATGGCAGGCCAAGTTCTGGTGCCACTTATATTGACATGTGTGAATCCAGACGTATATTTAAATCAAAATTGAAATGGTGTCAAAACAACCAGCAACAAATACAGATGGATATAATTGCTGAACATCATAAAAACAAGAATTTTAGCCAGTTTTGGAAAACCACCAATAAATTTAATAAAAATCCGGGTCTTCCTGTCAGTGTCGGTGGTGTTCATGAGCCCAGTGAAATTGCTAATTTGTTTAGGCAGCATTTCAAAGTAGAATCCCCACTGGGACCCTCGTTGCAGGTGTCCGATGCTGAGGGTTGTAACTCAAAGCGTAGTATAATATTTAAGCCTAATGAGGTAGCTGAAGTGATTAAGAATATGGTGAGAGGGAAATCCCCTGGACACGATAACCTCAGCATTGAACACCTGCAACATGCAGGAGTTCGATTGCCGACAATTTTAGCATTGTTTTTCAACCTGTGTATAGGGCACTCATATTTACCTGATGGTCTTATGCGTACTGTAGTGGTACCCATTATAAAAAACAAAACGGGTGACTCATCAGACGTTTCAAACTATAGACCGATCTCTCTTGCCACTGTTATTGCGAAGGTGCTTGACTGTTTGCTTGGAAAGCGACTGACGGAACACGTATCTCTTAATGACGCGCAATTTGGCTTTAGACCTGGCCTTTCCACTGAGAGCGCTATCCTATGCCTCAAGCAAACAGTTCAGTACTACACTGTAAGAAAAACACCGGTATATGCATGCTTTTTGGACCTCTCCAAGGCATTTGATCTTGTTTCCTATGACGTTCTATGGGATAAATTAAAAAATGAAACTAATATGTCTGATGAAATTTTACTCACCTTTAAATATTGGTACAGACACCAAAGAAATATTGTTAAATGGGCTGGTGAGCACTCGGAGGAGTATGGATTGGATTGCGGGGTGAGGCAGGGGGGTGTGACTTCGCCCACGCTTTTCAATCTATATATTAATAAGCTGCTTGAGGAGCTCAGCAGTACCGGAATCGGTTGTCATATTGACGGAGTCTGTGTCAATAATATTAGCTACGCAGACGATATGGTGCTGCTGAGTCCCTCAAGTGGTGCAATGAAAAGACTCCTCAGTATTTGTGAGACTTATGCAGTGACTCATGGACTTAGATACAATCCAACGAAAAGTGAGTTTATGATATTTAAACCGGACCACAAGCGGTATAATGATATACCACATATCACACTGTGCGGTACACCACTTACAAAGGTTGGCCGTTTTAAGTACTTGGGTCACTGGATAACTGAGGATTTGAATGATAATCTGGATATAGAGAGAGAACGGAGGTCGCTGTCTGTTCGCTGCAATATGTTGATCCGCAGATTTGCAAAGTGTTCCAAACGAGTAAAAACTACGCTCTTTAACGCATATTGTCAATCTTTTTATGCGTGCAGTCTGTGGGTAAACTATACTCGGAGGGCATACAGTGACTTACGTGTGCAATACAACAATGCGTTCAGGATGTTGATGGGGCTGCCGCGATACTGCAGCGCCTCTGCTATGTTCGCAGAGGCTCACACAGATGGTTTTGCTTCCATCATGCGCAAACGCTGCGCGTCCTTACTTCGACGAGTACGGGACAGTCCCAACACGATCCTGCACGCATTGTTAGATCGCTGGGATTCGCCAATCTTGGCACATTGGATACGGCTCCATGTAGTCAAATAAAATATATTTTTGTAACTTTACTAACCAACTAGCTTATTAAGTTTAATTTTTACTAACACAATATGGATTAAGATCTGAAATAAATTATTATTATTATTATTATTATTATTATTTCTCAAATATGGATACTCTGTTGGTACGGACAACATTTGGTCGACACGGTTTGTTTGTTTTTTTATTAATATGTTTATATTAAAAAAAACTCATGAAATATATAAAAAGTAATAATAGCCGTTCGTTATTTTCAGAGCGCCGGTGTTGGGGAGGCTCTATATAACAGCGGTTGGTATGTTTCATCGAATAACATAAAGAAATCTATACTTATTATGATACACAGGTAATGTAACAATATTGTGATGGCAAAATTATTATTCTAAACATTTTACTGTAATAAACGTTTGTAAAATATTTTAGATCCCAGAAGCGAGTGCACATAACAACGTTTGGATTTTCAACAGTGTCAATGGAATGTTACTCAACGGTAAGTTTCAGTATCACAGAGTAACGCTTCACGAAGTTCATCCCTGAGGTCATGGAGAGCTGGAGGGAATATATACATGTCACGTATAAATACTCCTAGAACGAATTTTTATTTACATCATTTCTTTTAAGTCAAGTGTATATTTTTTGAACTCTAATATGTATATTTGAACTGTAGTATGTTAAAAACTGAGCAAAATATTAATTTTCAGCACCAGTACTTCCACAATAAGTAAAAAATACTCAACTTATATTGTCAACTAACTAACAAGTCCCATATTTGAACTAATTCGAATCAAGCCTCTATAATTTTACCGCCACTACGATGCATTGTATAAAGCGACATGTAATATAAAGATGAACATAAATTTCGGGATATGATAAAATTTTCAATTTAATCATTCGACTTAAAATATTATTAACGAATATAATCTACATTTATTGCATAATGGCGTTGAAATATTTTAAACTCTTTGAATAACGTCACGTTCTTCTTTATTTTCAGATTCTCAAAACATCCTGGTCCTACTTCACTCTCCTAATTAATTTGTACAAGAGATAATCACACAACGCAATATACATATATATTTTACAATATTATTCATTATTTTAATTAATTCTTACAATTTCTTTTAATAGCAACATTGTTGTCAACATCAATAAATAATGCAAATTAAAAATTGCAATAGAAATTACAGAAATTATGGTGAAAAAAAAAAAACAGAGAGTTTAGCTTAATAACTGAATACGTAAAACATATAGTAAAGAAGTTTAACCAACCAATATCCAAACCATCGAGGATGTAATAACTTGGACTTAGGGTACTGTTGATATTAAATTAAATATCAAGTCTTCATCAGCACGCTACATACGAAGCTTTTCATTTTCATTCATGATTCTTAACGTACTCTAGTATTAATGTAGGTGATTGAATAAGACACGTTCAACGTTTCGTATGTAATGACACCATGAAAACTTTTGGATATAATACATATAATACATACTGTTGGATATAATACACATTTATGATGGACTCACTGAGAACTAACCTAATATAACATTCATTATTATAAAAGATATAAATAGAAAAAAATAGCAAGGAATCTTTATCTTTTTGTAGGACAGACGTTTTGAACAGGCGAAGGATTTAGTGTAATTTTGTACCATGTTAATTACGAATAACAATTTTTTGTTTTTAATTGTATCCAGTGGCGGCTGGTGGATTATAAAACTGGTGGTGCACTTTACTAAAATATTAAAATTAGAAAATGTAACAAAACATAACGAGATGTCAATCATGGCTCAATCCGTCATACATCGGGTGCTCTCGGTAATCTTCGGCCGCTCGTGCGGCGCTCGAGAACCGACTCATTACTCGGTACATTTCTATGAACTATCTTTTGTTTCACGCGTCAGGCGTATTAATTCGTATCTCATACAAGATGTATTAGCAGTCCTCGTGCACTTACCGAAGCCTACGAGATATTAGTTTAGTAAAGCGCACAAACTTTTTGACTATAATTAGAAAACTTAATTTTTTATACGTTTTATATGTTTAAAAAATAAATATTAAAATGGTAATTTAAAAATAAAGATGAAGTTATATTTTGTAATTTTTAAATCTTTTGAATTGGTGGTCAGCGCACGAGTGCACTTAAGGTACAGCCGCCACTGATTGTATCGTTATCTAAATAGATTTCTTGAATTTTCTTATATTGACTTCTTTCAGCAATTATTCAGAGGATTTAAACAAAGACTTTCGAATATTTTGTACCTAAGAATAGTACTAAGACTCTAAACAGTAAATATCTTTTATTTATTGATTATATATCTCGCAAACATACCTGCAGGATTCAAATAATAATAATTACAAAAACAATTTAATTTTAGTTATTCTATGTCTTTCTTCTATCAATTTAAGCAATGGCCAAAATCCACAAAATAAAGCGCTACAAGCCGGTGTTCATTAATCTGATGAGTGAATTGAGAGAAATGTGGCCGAGAGACAACGTCACAGATGAAGAACAAACTATTATAAACAAGGACTTGAAGAGACTGAGACTGGTTACTAAAGGTAAGAAATATATATACTCTACAAAAAAATATAACCTTAAGTGTAAAAGCCAATAATGAAACATATATTTTGCAACAGTAACCACAAACTTCAAAATTAAAACAATAAGAAAGTTTAAGATACAGAACTTGTTACTCTCGGAAGACATGTCTTTTGGCCAAATATTGAATATAATGATAGTAATATATGTTATATTAATTAATATTAACTTTATATTTTCATACATACGTTATATAACATCTCCCCAGCTTACTTCTCGTGTAATTCCATATTGGGTCTAATCTTCACCCTGCCATCTATCGTCAACCTTATAAAGCCTCTGTTCGGTATCGAGGCGCCTCGTATATTGCCTTTCTTCTACTGGCTACCATTCGATCCTTACCAGGAAGTCATATTTGAAGTCGTGGTGATTGTGCAGAACTCACATTGTAAGTATTTTATATGTTCATCTTAACATCAGCCTAAAATATCCTATATGTGATAAGTCATGTGTAGTCCTTGTTCTAATTTAATTGTAATAGTAAGTACTGATCTGCAGGAATATATCATTATTATTCACTATTTATTTTAATATTTTTATACATTATTTTTCCAGGTTTCCTCTCAGCAGCCTTCATGTTAGCTGGAGATCTCTTATTCTTCTCCTTCCTCAGTCACATCACTACACAGTTCTCCTTACTTGCTGTCAGGATTCAGAAGATGTTCTACGTTCCTGTTGATGGACAACTGCCGGAGTCGTATCCACTTGGTGATTATAGCATGTTTATATTTTGCTTAGAAATATTAAATACAGTACGTGAGACACTTTCTATATGATTCAAATGTTTTTCGTAACAACAAAATATAATAAGATAATAGCAGGAGGGCCAACGATGCTACATAGGGATATACTCGAGCGTCCTGGACATCTATTGAGTTATAAAATGTTATATGATGTATACCTATTTATCGGTGGGGGGAACGGCTGTAGATTTTAAAAACCCTAAATAAGCCTAGCATTGACATACTCTAGCTCATCAGATATTGTTAGGATCGCAAGGGTTGAAAGTTAAAAAAGAAATTATTCTACCGCGTCAGAAATTTAGGTGAACCTAAAAAACCCATCTTCAATAATCTGAGGATTTGTACGTGACGCAAGCTTGTCATTATTAGAAATTGAATTCAATAATCACCCCATTTGAATACAAATAGGATTAATATGAAATATGTAAATTATATAATCGATCGTTATTATGAAATTTGTTACTTTTATTCCAGGATATAATAATAAAGAGAAGTCATTAAATAATCCAAATCAGAACACATCAACCAACAGAAGCAAAGTGAAAGAGGAAGAACTTAAAGAAATTATTAAACGACACAGATCTTTAATTCGGTAAAATATTTATAAATAAATATATTCGTTGTTGACAGTAGTTGCATATGGTATGAACTTTACACAAACATAGGCCATAAATATTTGGAAATATTACCAAAAACTAACAATCTCGTACATATCTTTTTATCAAAATAAATTCAAATTAAATTATGAATCCATTTTGAAATCTTCATAGCATTTTATTTTGAAATCTGCCAAACTATCACACAAATAAATCAAGATATATATTGCACATTTACATACTTTTGAGCTACAATGTATTCCCAAAGAGGTTTGATGTCAGGCAGGCCGCCGCTTGTAAAAGACAATTAGCCAAAACTATTCATAACATGAAAGGCAGACCCTGGCTAAATCTAGGAAATTGCCTGGTAGAAGAAGAAAACATACCTTTAAGCTACACTGTTTTATATTTGGCGTTTAATAAAAGGATCTTTTCTTTATTACCTGAAAAACAACAGACTTTAAGCTCTTTTGAAATTACAATTGTTAGAAGTTCAGTTAAAGCAAACATTTTAATGAGAATTCCAAACTTCAAAGGAGTGGAGTAAGAATGTAATACTGAGTAATGTTTTTAAGGAAACTAAACAACTTTTGTCAATTTTATTTTATACTTTAACTTTTGTACTTTTTTTGCAGATTGTCAAATGAGAACATGTATTAGTTTTCACTCCTTGTGAATTTTCTAAACAGCTTCATAATTATTTGCTTCTATTTATTTTGCTGCGCGGTGAGTATAAGGACCGTGAAAATAAAACAATTATATAGAAACGAGCTGAATATTGTACTGACGACTCAGGTCATTCATCAAGAGAGCTGATCTCGACAACCAAATGTTCAATCGGTACCGAAACGCTGAAGTCGCTTCACTCAACTTGTATCGAAAACTTTTGTGAAGCGAAGGGAGAAAAAACTCCGAAGATGCTTTTCCTTGTTATTTTGAAAACTTTTAACACTCCTTTAATATTTTATTTGTTTTTTATATTTTCACATTAAATGAGTCTTTAATTCTGTTACCTCATCGCTTTATTATTAATTATTTTTCAGTTCATTGAAAAATGGAATGAGTTTATATACAAATTATTTTTCATAACCGCCATTTCTCAAATATGGATACTCTGTTGGTACGGACAACATTTGGTTGACACGGTTTGTTTGTTTTATTATCCATATGTTTATATTAAAAAACAACTTATTATATCGAAAAAAAAAATATAATTCTTTTTCACTATTTCCAGAGCGCCGGTGTTGGGGAGGCTCTATATAACAGCGGTTGGTATGTTTCATCGAATAACATAAAGAAATCTATACTGATTATGATCCACAGGTAATATAACAGGTAATATAACAGGTAATATCCACAGGTAATATTATTGTGATCCCAAAATTATTATTATAAACATTTTACTGTAATAAACGTTTGTAAAATATTTCAGATCCCAGAAGCGAGTGCACATAACAACGTTTGGATTTTCAACAGTGTCAATGGAATGTTATTCAACGGTAAGTTTTAGTATCACAGAGTAACGCTTCACTGAGTTCATCCCTGAGGTCATGGAGCGCTGGAGGGAAAATCAACATGTCACGTATAAATTCTAAAACGAATTATCATCTTTATATATCTTTTTCAACTCCATTATGGGTCAACTGTACATTTCTCGATCTCTTATTTAAACTTTATAATTGGAACATACAGTATGTTAAGAACTGAGGATAAGATTTATTTAAAGCACTAGTACTTCTATTAATAAATAAAAATACTCAACTTATATTGTCAATTCACACGACTTGAACTGATTCGAGCCAAGCGCATAACTTGTTATCCACACTATAATACCATGAATAACGCGACATGCAATAGAAAGATGAAAATTAATTTCGCGATACAATAACTTTTATTTTAATAAATTTACTTAAAACATTGTAAAGGTTCCAACATGTAATTCATAACGCCTATGAAATATTTAAATTTATTTGAATAATATCATCTTCTTCTTTATTTTTAGATTCTCAAAACATCCTGGTCCTACTTCACTCTTCTTATAAATTTGTATAAGAGATAATCATACAACATAACAAAAATAACTTACAATGTAATTTTAAATTTAAATGTCTTTTAATATCAACATGTTTTCAACATATATGTAAGCAATAGTGAATTATATAAATTAAAATTGTTATAGAAGATACAAAATAAAGTATTCGTCAACACGAGCTGGAATCGAACCCGCAATCACTTATACTATCTGTTATAATATACGCTTACTGACATATTGGTGAAACAGTCAGACAGTTTAGCTTGATTGCTAAATACGTAATACACAAATGTACGTCAAAGAATTTCTGTATTGAGGATATAATAACTTGGAGTTATGGTACTATTGATATTGAAAGTCTTCATCATCACGCTACATACGAAGCTTTTACATTGTCATTAATGATTATTAACATACTCTAGTATTTAACGTAGCTGATTGAACAAAAAACGGTCAACGCTTCGTATGTTATGTCATGATGCAAAACTTGTAGTAACATTCTCAAAACCAGACTACTACTTGAAGTTGTAGAACATTATGGTGATGCTTTTTTTATTTATTGAATGATTTATAATGTAATTTTGAATACTGTGTTGCGAAAAGTGGATATTGATAAATCTTATTGCCTTATAATAAAAATAAGTGCTTGAAAATTTTATTTCTTCTTTTTCATAACTCTTTCAACATGGGTCTTATTTTATATTCATTACCTATAATGAGGTTCCTAAACCCTCGCAGAAGATATAATTATAGAAGTTGTTACTTTAAAAACATTAATGCATATTATGAGCAACAAGGGAACTCCATCATGGTTGGAGTGAATTTACACGTGACCATCATTTTAATGAACCACTGCCTTCAAAACAACATTATGATTTTAAGTCTCTGCTATTTTTTTCTATAAGAAAACAACTGTGTAATGGGCTATAAGGAGAAAAATGAAATGATAAATTTAGAAACAGTTAAATAATTAATTAATGATTTTTACAATACTTACTTTTTGGTTATTTTTTTATAACTCTTACGGTTATTGGCCTTGGGATTTCATATCAATTTATGGCTGAACTGATATTGGTACCTTTTGCTTTATACCTAAGGTTTCCTGCTACAAGTGACTATGTTACTAGTAGGAAAGATAAAGTATAAAATTATTAAACGTACAAAACTGTTCATTTATTAATATTACATAGAACTTCTACTATCATTTTGTTATATTTTTGGGACAATCCCTTATGGGGCCGGACTTATGGGCTTCATAATGTAATAAAAAATCATGATGTCATATATTTTTATAGCATTAAACTGTTTTTGATATCCTGAAACACTTTTGTATTTAGAAAATATAAACAGCTTAATTTCAATACACTAGTATATACCCTTTTTTATATTAAAGAATCTGAATATTAATATAAGCCAAGTACATATTTTAGAAGTCTTCTAACAGGTTAAAATTTTAGTTCGTATGAGGTAAAAGGTTGTTACTAATACTATTATTATTAATAATACAATTTTTAAATAATACAATTTATTTTTATTTTACCTAAAATTCATATTGATTTTATCCTTTCTGTCTTTCTATCTTTCGTGTCTTATTCCTTCCTAAGGGATTTTCTGATTCGACCCACACTCTCACTCATAAATCTATTTGTAAAATTTTATTGTGATTCTTGTACCTAACAGATGACAATGTTCAATTTTGTTCTGGGTATCATACTTTCAGATTGATTGATTGGTTGGTCCATGACAAAAGTCACTTTACATCTATTTCACATCATTAAATTTCACGCAATTGTATGGGGAACTGATGTTAGAAAACCATGAAACTCCTAAACAACTCGCATCAAACAACTGATGACTACTGCAATGATCAGGTTTTAATCTGTTCTACTGACAAATTTTGATCAATATTTTTTTCTGTTTAAAAGCAGATGTCCTTAGGGTTATCTCAAGATAAGAATTTGAAAATTTGATGATGGAACCCATAACCGAGGAAAACTATTAATATATAAGTCGGTTTAGTCTATTTTTTAAAGTTTAACACATTTTAAATCTTTACCTTTTGTTACCAAAATTCCATCATCACCAACTTTCCGTTCATCACCAAAGTTCTATCATCAATTCATCACCAAGACTCTGTCATAACAGAACTTCAATAAACACCATTCTTTGTTATCAAAAACTATCAAACAATATCGTAGACGTATCGTATTAATGAATTGTAGTTAAATTTCTACTCACATAATTCAAACTTATATTATAAATGCATGCCTCTATCTGTTTGTTACGCTTTTACGTCAAAACTACAACATCGATTTATATGAAACTAGGTAAATACACCCCGGGTAAAAACCGCAACATAAAGGTATGTTTTGATAGTCAGGACACTGCGAACTGTATATTAAGAAACCGTTCATTAACGAAAAACAGAAGTATTCGTATTTTTTGGGATCAAACTCCAACTCAATTTAAATATTTACAAAATTTAAAGAATGAACTTGAGGAACGTAAACAAAATGGTGAGTCCGAGTGGCTTTAATACCACCAAAAAATGAACTACTCACTTACCAGATTACTCATGATTATAGTTCGGTTATAATGACCTCCTCTTCTTTAAAATTATTTTATGCGAATGTTAGAAGTTTAGTCAAATTGAGCAAATTGACGAATAATAATAAAAAAATACATAAATTACAAATACCTAAGTCTAGAACTAAACATTATGGTAACAAAACTATACAATTTGAGGGAGCACTAATGTACAATAATCTACCGAAAGAAATATTTAACGAAAAATCTTTTTTGAAATTTAGGCTAAATTAAAAACATACTGTAAAACTTTATAATTATATTTAAATATTTGTATAAATAAGGTCACCATTAACTTTCTAAATGTTTATTATTATGTTACTATGTAGTTTAAGTTTCATATGTAAGTGAACTTTGTTCTTAATGGGAAATAAATCATTTCTAAACCTAAAATCATTTTAAACTTATTCTTTTCTGAGTTCCCAATATTGTAACCATTCAACAAGTGGGTCTCTGCAGTAGTGTCTTGTCATCCAAGGTTCTATAAACAGAATTTGCCACGAGATCTAACTTGCATCTTTCCACTTGGTACACAACTTCACTCCCTATTCTGAAAAGTTTATCATGCCTATTCATGAGATTTAATGATGAGAGTGTAATTATATAATCTGATGAGAGTATAATGAACAAAATATAAAACTAAATATAATCTTTTGAACAAAATTTAAATAGTCTTCTGTTTTAATAATAAATATGAAATTTTATTATCGATCATATCTTCTGAAAAGTTTTTGAACGTGTAGACGTTTAAATGTAGATTTAAATACATGTTTTACGGCATAACGAGAATCTGAGATTAGCGTAACTTAAGGCTTCGATAAATTACTCCATGTGGCGATGGTACATGAACTATATTGACTTCATCCTTATTGACTTTAAAATAGAACACAATTTATTTTACACAACGATCACGTAAATTGTATGTACGCATATAAATAAATTAGCAACTTTTTATTTTAAATTATTTTATTATTTATAGATTAGTCCTATATGACGTAGTGTTTTGTAGCACGAAAAAAAATGTTAAAGTAAAAGATACTACTATCAGTTCAGCCAGGGCCGAGAACTGTAAGAAGCTGCCTTTTATTATTTAATGTCTATACTATTAATCCTACTTTGAGGCTTCATATAGTCTTTCGGTATTAGATATTAAAGAATGTAAAATAAGAAGTGATTTTGATATATTATATTCACTTATTAACTGTATCCAAATTATTTAAAAAGAGTTGTTTTCTTATAGAATAAAATGGCGGAGAGTTAAAATCATAATGTTGTTTTGAAGGCAGTGGTTCATTAAAATGATGGTCACGTGTAAATTCACTCCAACCATGATGAAGTTCCCTTGTTGCTCATAATATGCATTAATGTTTTTAAAGTAACAACTTCTATAATTATACCTTCTACGAGGGTTCCTATCTTCTATATATATAAAAATGGATTGCTGTTCCTTAGTCTCGCTAAAACTCGAGTACAGCTGAACGGATTTATCTTATCTTAGTCATGAAATGTTCGTGGAGGTTCAGGGAAGGTATAAAAGCTGAAAATAATTGATTCGTTACTGGGAAAACCATAAAAACAGCCCTTTTCTATTTCCCATACAAACGTTTTTTTGACATTAGATTTGACAACTAATTAATATGTCAATCATTCTGTGGCACTTCAAAAAACGGAAATTTACGGCTTACAGGTAAACTCCAAAAATATAAATAAAAAAACGTAATAGATATTTATTGATTATAGGGTGATACGAAGTTCGCCAGGTCTTCTAGTAATGAATATAAAATATGACCAATGTTGGGGCTTTTCTTGAAAGAGTTATGGAAAAGAAAAAACAAAATTGTCAAGAATTTATTTTTATTTTAGGGCAATAACATTTATTAAATTAGCTTTTCCTACAAGCAGTGTTCAAATTTACATTAAAATTCATTCAATAAATAAAAATATCATGATCATAATATTCTACAACTTCATTCAAGTATCAGTATGGTTCAGAGAATAATCACTAAGTTTCTTAATATGGCTTCAGGACTTTAAACCAGATGAACAGTTTGGTAATTATTCTGAAACTAATCAAGTAATCGATTCAACTATCGATTAAATTCACATTGTAATGACATACATCGGATATGATATGGATATTATATGAATAGTAATGAGGATTCGGGCTTGATATATATTAATGTCATTGTATATAATTAGTTTATATTGTATACTAGAAGACCTGGCTAACTTCGTATCGCCCTATAATCAAGAAATATCTATTACGTTTATTTATTTATATTTTTGGAGTTTACCTGTAAGCCATAAATCTCCGTGTTTTGAAGTGCGACAGAATGATTGACATATTAGTTGTCAAATCTAATGTCAAAAAAAACGTTTGTATGGGAAATAGAAAAGGGCTGTTTTTATGGTTTTCCCAGTAATTAATAAATTTTATTCAGCTTTTATGCCTTCCCTGAACCTCCACGAACATTTCAAGACTAAGATAAGATAAATCCGTTCAGCTCTTCTCGAGTTTTAGCGAGACTAAGGAACAGCAATCCATTTTTATATATATAGAAGATACATATATTGAGGATACTAATTAAAGCTATGTCACACATTGAGGATACTAATTAAAGCTATGACCTTACTATCAGCTGTAACAGTTAAATGGAAACCAACGTACCTTTACTTTCTTCGTTATTAGTGTAGGCCTAGTGTTGTCAAAGTAAAATACTTTTTAATAAGAATTGTAAAACTGTGATGGTTTCTGAATGAAAGTCTTAACAAATATGTTTTACCGCCTTTATTTTAATACTGCCAGTTAAACTTACTATCCTAGTTTGTATGAGAACACAAAAGTTTCAGAAACACCATGCTTTAATAATATGTAATTACAAGTAGTTTGATAGTTTATAGTAAATACTCATTCTATTCTTATTTGTAAGATATACATATTCAATATTAAATCTGTAGCGAGTGAAGCTTCTTAACTCGGAACATATTTTGGTTTTATTGTGACAATCTAAATGATTCAACAGTATGCTTATTACAAGTATTCATCGTGACATTGCGTGTGAATCGTTAAACGTGTCTTATTCAATCACCTACATTAATACTAAGGTATGTTAAGAATCATTAATGAAACTGAAAAAGCTTCGTATTTAGCGCGCTGATGAAGACTTAACATATAATTTAATATTAACAGTACCCTTAGTCCAAGTTATTACTTCCTCAAAACAGAAATTCTTTGACGTACATATGTGTATTACGTATTAAGAAATCAAGCCAATCTGTTTAATTTTTTCACATATATATCAGTACGTGTATATTATAACAGATAGTACAAGTGGTTGCTGGTTCTGTTTCTGATCCTGTTGATGAATATTTGATTCTGTATTTTATATTACAATTTTAATTATATAATTCAGTATTACAATAAATATGTTTACAATATTAACATATTAAAAGAAATTATAAAAAAGAATAAATTATATTGTAAGATATTTTTGTTATATTGTGTGATTATCACTTATACAAATTAATTAGAAGAGTGAAGTAGGACCAGGATGTTTTGAGAATCTGAAAAAATGAAGAGGGTGATATTATTCAAAAAGTTTCAAATATTTCATAGGCGTTATGCATTAAGCGTTATCAAATACATGTAGGAATCTTTACAATATTTCAAGTAAAATTATTAAAGTTAAACTTATTATATCGTGAAATTTATTTTCATCTTTGTATTGCATGTCGCGTTTTACATTGTATTATAGTGGTGGTAAAAATTCGTTCGGCTTGAATCGCCTCAAGTCGCGTGAATTGATAATGTAGGTTGAGTATTTTTAACATATTATTACAAGTACTAGTGATGAAAATTATTATTTAGCTCAGTTTTAACATACTTTAGTAAATTCCAATTATTAAATTTCGATTAGAGTTCAAAAATATACGCTTGACGATTAACGGCGTTAAAAAAATTGATGAAAATGAAAATTCGTTCTAGGAGTATTTATACGTGACATGTAGGTATTCTCTCCAGCACTCTATAACCTCAGGAATGAACTCAGTGAAGCGTTACCCTGTGATACTGAAACTTACCGTTGAGTAACATTCCATTGACACTGTTGAAAATCCAAACGTTGTTATCTGCACTCGCTTCTGAGATCTGAAATATTTTACAAAGTCTATTACAGTAATATATTCATAATAATATTTTGCCATCACAATATTGTTACATTACCTGTGGATCATAATAAGCATAGATTTCTTTATGTTATTCGATGAAACATACCAACCGCTGTTATATAGAGCCTCCCCAACACCCGCGCTCTGAAAATAGCGAACGAATATTATTACTTTATTCAGTATACATATTTTTTAATATAAACATATGGATATTAAAACAAACAAACCGTGTCGACCAAATGTTGTCCGTACCAACAGAGTATCCATTTTTGAGAAATGGCGGTTATGAAGAATAATTTGTATATAAACTCATTCCATTATTCAACGAACTGAAAAATAATTAATAATGAAGCGGTAAGGTAACAGAATTAAAGACTCATTTAATTTGAAAATATAAAAAACAAATAAAATATTAAAAGAGTGCTAAATCGTTTCAAAATGACTAGGAGATGCATCTTTGCAGATTTTTCTCCCTTCGCCTCACAAAAGCTCTCGATACAAGTTGAGTGAAGCGACTTGATGAATGACCTGAGTCGTCAGTACAATATTCCGCTTGTTTCGATCGCTTCACTCAATAAGTGAATATAATTGTTTTATTTCCACGGTCTTTGTACTCACCGCGCAGCAAAATAAACAGAAGCATATAATTATAGAGCTGTTTAGGAAATTCACAAGAAGTGAAAACGAATACATGTTCTCAACGTCATTTGATAATCTAAAAAAAAAGTACAAAAGTTAAAGTATAAAATAAAATTGACAAAAGTTGTTTAGTTTCCTTAAAAAACATTACTCAGTATTACATTCTTACTCCACTCCTTTGAAGTTTGGAATTCTCATTAAAATGTTTGCTTTAACTGGACTTCTAACAATTGTAATTTCAAAAGAGCTTAAAGTCTGTTGTTTTTCAGGTAATAAAGAAAAGATCCTTTTATTAAATGCCAAATATAAAATAGTGTAGCTTAAAGGTATGTTTTCTTCTTCTACCAGGCAATTTCCTAGATTTAGCCAGGGTCTGCCTTTCATGTTATGAATAGTTTTGGCTAATTGTCTTTTACAAGCGGCGGCCTGCCTGACATCAAACCTCTTTAAGAATGCATTGTAGCTCAAAAGTATGTAAATGTGCAATATATATCTAGATTTATTTGTGTGATAGTTTGGCAGATTTCAAAATAAAATGCTATGAAGATTTCAAAATGGATTCATAATTTAATTTGAATTTATTTTGATAAAAAGATATGTACGAGATTGTTAGTTTTTGGTAATATTTCCAAATATTTGTGGCCTATATTTGTGTAAAGTTCATACCATATGCAACTACTGTCAACAACGAATATGTTTATTTATAAATACTTTACCGAATTAAAGATCTGTGTCTTTTAATAATTTCTTTAAGTTCTTCCTCTTCTACTTTGCTTCTGTTGGTTGATGTGTTCTGATTTGGATTATTTAATGATTTCTCTTTATTATTATATCCTGGAATAAAAGTAACAAATTCTTTAATAACGATCGATTATATAATTTACATATTTCATATTAATCCTATTTGTATTCAAATTGGGTGATTATTGAATTCAAATTCTAATAATGACAACCTTGCGTCACGTACAAATCCTCAGATTATTGAAGATGGGTTTTTTAGGTTCACCTAAATTTCTGACGCGGTCGAATAATTTCTTTTTTAACTTTCAACCCTTGCAATCCTAACAATATCTGATGAGTTAGAGTATGTCAGTGCTAGGCTTATTTAGGGTTTTTAAAATCTACAGCCGTTCCCCACCGATGAATAGGTATACAACAAATAATATTTTATAACAAAATAAGTCTCCATGACGCTCGAGTAAATCCCCATGTAGTATCGTTGGCCCTCCTGCTATTATCTTATTATATTTTGTTGGTTCGAAAAAGATTTGAATCGTGTAAGAAAGTGTTTCACGTGCTGTATTTAATGTTTCTAAGAAAATATAAACTTGCCAATATTACCAAGTGGATATGTCTCCGGCAGTTGTCCATCAATAGGAACGTAGAACATCTTTTTAATCCTGACAGCAAGTAAGGAGAATTGTGTAGTGATGTGACTGAGGAAGGAGAAGAATAAAAGATCTCCAGCTAACATGAAGGCTGCAGAGAGGAAACCTGGAAAAATAATGAGTTAAAAATATTAAGTTAAATAGTGAATAATAATGATATATTATCAGTACTAATTATAATAATTTAATAAGAACAAGGACCACACATGTCACATGTAGGATGTTTTTAGGCCGATGTTAAGATGAATATATAAAATACTTACAATGTGAGTTCTGCACAATCACCACGACTTCAAATATGACTTCCTGGTAAGGATCGAATGGTAGCCAGTAGAAGAAAGGCAATATACGAGGCGCCTCGATACCGAACAGAGGCTTTATAAGGTTGACGATAGATGGCAGGGTGAAGATTAGACCCAATATGGAATTACACGAGAAGTAAGCTGGGGAGATGTTATATAACGTTTGTATGAGAATTCAACGTTAATATCATACGATAGAATTTAGTATTAAAGGAGGGGATATCAAGAGGATTTTGTGCAACACAGGAGCGATTAGGAAGGATTCTGGGGGAGAAAAATTTAAAACGTTCGAGTAGGTACGGGGGAGAAGAATGTTTGAACACATTGTACAATTACGTTAAAACATGCATATTCCGGCGGAAGCGGATAGGGAGCCACTATTTTCGTTATGTTGTGTGATTATCTCTTATACAAATTAATTAGGAGAGTGAAGTAGGACCAGGATGTTTTGAGAATCTGAAAATAATGAAGAGGATGATGTTATTCAAAGAGTTTAAAATATTACAACTCCATATGTAATGGAATTAATGTAGATTATATTAATTTATAATAATTCAACTACTAGTGCTTTAAATAAATGCTGTGTTCCAATTGTTAAGTTTCGATTAGAGTTCGAAAAATATACACTTGACGCATAGCGGCGTTAAAAAAATTAATATAAATAAAAATTCGTTGTCGGAGTATTTATACGTGACATGTATATGTATATTCATCAAACGCTCTATAACCTCAGGGATGAACTCAGTGAAGCGTTACTCTGTGATACTGAAACTTACCGTTGCGTAACATTCCATTGACACTGTTGAAAATCCAAAAGTTGTTATGTGCACTCGCTTCTGGGATCTGAAATATTTTACAAAGTCTATTACAGTAAAATGTTTAGAATAATAATATTGCCATCACAATGTTGTTATGTTACCTGTGGATCATAATAAGTATAGATTTCTTTATTTTATTCGATGAAACATACCAACCGCTGTTATATAGAGCCTCCCCAACACCGGCGCTCTGGAAATGACGATCGGCTATTCTTACATACTTTCAGTATATTTTGTTTTATATAAACATGTTTTTAATAAAATAAACAAACCGTGTCGACCAAATGCTGTCCGTACCAACAGAGTATCCATATTTGAGAAATGGCGGTTATGAAGAATAATTTGTATATAAACTCATTCTATTTTTCAACGAACTGAAAAATAATTATTAAAGAAGCGGTAAGGTAACAGATGTAGGACTCATTTAATTTGAAAATATAAAAAAATTATAATAAAATATCATAGGAGTGCTAAAAGGTTTCAAAATGACAAAGAGATGCACTTCGATATTTTTTCTATGAGTTTTTAGTCTTTCACGTTGTTTTTGAATTTGCGTTCGGTTTTCCCCCCCAAAACAAAAAAATACCCCAAATAATAATAGAAAACCCCTACTCGATCGGCCATTCGGTTGCCGAGATCATCTTCTTAAATAAATGACCTGAGTCACCAGTACATTGTTTCACTCGCTTCACTCACGAAATTATTATATATGTATGTTTTTCTTATATCACGATCTTTAAACTCACCGCGCAGCAAAATAAACAGAAGCATATAATTATGGAGCTGTTTAGGAAATTCACAAGAAGTGAAAACGAATACATGTTCTCAACGTCATTCGACAATCTGTAATAAAGTGCGTGAGTTAAAACATCGAATAAAATTGACTAAAAATGTTAAGTTTCCTTTCAAACATTTCTTAAGGTTACATTCTTACTCCAATCTACCAAAGTTTGAGATTTTCATTAAAATGCTTGCTTTAACTGGACTTCCAACAATTGTAATTTGAAAAGACCTTACAAGTTGTTTTTGTGGTAATAAAGTCACATTCAAAGAAAATATCTTTTTATGAAACATCAAATATTAAATACTGTAGCTTCGAAGTAGGAAGGTGTAAAGAAATTTATACTGACTACACATATATATTATACTAGATGACCCGGCGATCTTCGTATCGCCCTATCATCAAGAAATTTCTGATACCTTTTTTTTAATTTATATTTTTGGAGTTTACCTATTAAAGCCATAAATCTCCGTATTTTGAAGTGCGACAGAATGATTGACATATTAGTTAGTTGTCAAATCTAATGTCAAAAAAAAACGTTTGTATCAACACTTACTAATAAATTAAAAATTAATAAAAAAAACATTGTCCAGCGGACAAAATTGTGAATGTAAACCATCCCCAAATCCCCTTGAACGCACACAAATAATTTCATCAAAACCGGTCCAGTCGCTTGAGAGAAGTTCAGTGACATACTAACTCACAGAAGAATTATATATATAAAGATTTTTAATTTATATGTGTGACAGATTGATAAATAAATGCAATAATGATTTAAAAGTGGATTTATAATTTAAGTTGAATTAATTTGCGTAAAAAGATATGTACGAGACTGCCAGATTTTGGTAATATTTCCAAATATTATTTATGGAATTCATTTGTGCAACATTCCTAGCAACCACTGTCAATAAAGAAGATTTTTACTTCCAAATACATACTTTACCGAATTAAAGATTTGTGTCGTTTAATAATTTCTTTAAGTTCTTCCTCTTTTACTTTACTTCTGTTTTTTGATGTGTCCTGATTTGGATTATTTAATAATTTCTCTTTATTATTACATCCTGGAATAAAAGTAACAAATTTAATAATTACAATGGATTATATAATTTACATATTTCATATTAATCCTATTTGTATTCAAATTAGATCATTATTGAATTCAAATTCTAATGATGTACTCTAGCTTGCGTCACGTACAAATTGTTGAATTATTGAATGAGGGCTTTTTTAAGGGACACCTAAAAAATCTGACGCGTTCGATACATTTCCTTTTTAACTTTCAACCCTTGCGTGAGACTGCTCTCACCGCACAAATGATCAGATTAACATACGTAAATTTTGCAAAAAAGTAGAACATGGATGATTCCAAGATGTGACGAGTCACGTCATGTCACTGCTAGGTTAAGTGTGGGGTTTTTAAAATTTACAGTCGCTCCCCCCACTGATGAATAGGTATACATTATATAATATTTTATAACACGATAAGTCTCCATGACGATCGAGTAAATTCCCATGTAGCATCGTGGGCTCTCCTGCTATTATCTTATTATATTTTGTTGGTTCGAAAAAGATTTGAATCGTATAAGAAAGTGTTTCACGTGCTGTATTTAATGTTTCTAATAAAACATAAACTTGCTAAAAATTACCAAGTGGATACGACTCTGGAAGTTGTCCATCAATAGGAACGTAGAACATCTTTTTAATCCTGACATCAAGTAAGGAGAACTGTGTAGTGATGTTACTGAGGAAGGCGAAGAATAAGAGATCTCCAGCTAACATGAAGGCTGCAGAGAGGAAACCTGGAAAAATAATGAGTTAAAAATATTAAGTTAAATAGTGAATAATAATGATATATTATCAGTACTAATTATAATAATTTAATAAGAACAAGGACCACACATGACTTATCACATATAGGATATTTTAGGCCGATATTAAGATGAACATATAAAATACTTACAATGTGTGTTCTGCACAATCACCACGACTTCAAATATGACTTCCTGGTAAGGATCGAATGGTAGCCAGTAGAAGAAAGGCAATATACGAGGCGCCTCGATACCGAACAGAGGCTTTATAAGGTTGACGATAGATGGCAGGGTGAAGATTAGACCCAATATGGAATTACACGAGAAGTAAGCTGGGGGAGATGTTATATAACGTATGTATGGAAATATAAAGTTAATATTAATTAATATAACATGTATTACTATCATTAAAGTCAGTAGGAACTTATAAAATACAGGATTTGAACAAATGGAATTTCAGAGAGTAACAATTTCTACATCTTAAACTTTATTATTTTGTGAAGTAAGTTTCTAAGTATGTGGTTACATTTTCTTGTAAAGTATATATATATCTCACCTTTAGTAACCAGTCTCAGTCTCTTCAAGTCCTTGTTTATAATAGTTTGTTCTTCATCTGTGACGTTGTCTCTCGGCCACATTTCTCTCAATTCACTCATCAGATTAATGAACACCGGCTTGTAGCGCTTTATTTTGTAGATTTTCGACATTGCTAAATTAAATAACAAATAAAAATATAGAAAAACATATTTTAAATGTAATTGATTTTGTTAGTATTGTTATTTCAGTGTTGCAGGTAACTTTGCGAAATACACCTACCACTAAATAATAAAAAATGTGAACAGTCTCAGACCTAATCTTAGGTAAAAAATCTTCAAAAATCTCTTATTTATGAATAAATCCCTTAATAAAACAAATTATGAAGGAAGTCTATTTAAGAAAATTCAAGAAACTGGTTACATTACGATGCCATAAATTATAAAATTTTATCAATAATTAACATGGTACAAAATTATAATAAATCTATTGTCTGTTCAAAATGTCTGCTCCACTACAATATAGAGAGTGCATTCCTTCTGTTTATATCTTTTATAATTAATGATATATAAGGTTTGTTCCCAGCGAGAGTTCGTAATAAATATGTGTATTATTTCCAAGTATACGTACACACCAACAGATAGCCTACACACGGCATCATAGTAAACAACTCTACGAGGGTTCCTCCTGAGCCAGTCATCATCATACAGATGCTCTCCAGCACCGCGGCTGTCAACACATTCACCATCATGAACCAGAAGATCATGTTACGAATTGAACTGGAATGAAACATTATATACATACTTACATGGTGAGTAGAATACAGTAACGTGTTTAAAGAACATATTAAATTGATCTTGTTTTGTTGCCAATAAATTTAAATGATCATGAAATAGTAATTATTTGTTTAGAAATATTATCAAACTAATATATAAGTTAATGTAACAACATTAACTTATTTATGATTAAAAACTTTTATTGGTAATTATACTATGAATATAATTTGAATATTACCTAAATGCTTTAGATTCCTTTTCGTCTGTTAATTTAAGACACAGTCCTCTTAATATTTTTATCGCCAGCTTGTAAGTTGCATCATAGTCGTCCAAAACTAACTTGTGACCCTGTTAGAGTTAAATTATATTAGGAATCAACTAACTTCAATAATTATTAGTATATCATTTGATTCTTTTATTATAGTTCATATCAAAAAGAAATCACAGTTTAAAAAGTAAAGCATAATACACAAAAATATTATTTAAATAATAATATTTTATGAAACTAATGTTTTGTGGATATACTAAGCGACTTTATTTTGGATAAATACTACATACACTCGAATTTTCGGTTACTTTACAACAACCGTAATCACTTGCAGACGAGATGTGAGTGTCTGTCAGTTGGTCTTGTTATTTTATCATCTACCGCCATCGATTTCATAATTTTCTGTCGTACCGGTCTGGATGCCGGCAGAATGAGCTCACGGTGTCTGGAGGTCCAGCGGTGTGGTCAGGGACATGGGATTTTATATTTTTATCAAGAGGATTCCTGATGTTTGGTAGATTTCAGGGATATTCTTTATTAAAATGGAGTGGTTTTTCAATTTCAATAGGATTTAGGCTATTGCTTGCTATAAAGTAACCAAAACGTCGGGAGTATGTAGTTTTTATCAAAAATAAAGTTGCGTACATCCGCAAAATATTTCTTTCAATTAAATGACTCGCGAAAATCTCAGGTCTCAATAATAGTTTTAATTTTATAATCTGTAACCTAATAATAACGAATAAATGTGATTAAATATAACATTTACCTGCTTCTTTGATGTAGAAGGTTTTGTTTCATTCAACTGACTCTTGAGTAAGGCAGACGCCATTTTATGTGATATCAATGTTGGAAAAACTGTTCAGAAATGAAGTTTTATATAAACAGCGTGAGAAAAGATATAAAATTCATACACAAGCTAACTAACAATTACAGGTTTTTATTCTGTTTGTAAGCTTCAATTATATAGGATTTTAATTCTTGTTGATATTTTTAACATCATATTTTTTATTTGATTTTTTTATAAGTAGAATAAGAAATCAATAAAAAATTAATTTATCAATACATTATAATGATTCAAAAGGTTAGAAATGGTAATAATATAAAATAATATTAAAATCAGAAACCCTATTGCAAAAAAATGAATTGAATTGAATTTAAATTAATGTTGAGTTGTCAGCGTTATATAAGACTATTGAAACATAAAGTAAGCGTTGTATATAACTTTCTTTATTTGTCTTAAGACTACATCTTACAAGTGAAAAAGTTTCTCAAGGCTTAACATTCTGTATTAGTGAGATTTCATATATTTGTAGCAATATTTAAGATCTTTATTTTACCCGATCAATCAAGGAGATTTTTAGTATTTAGTTTTAAATTTGTTTATATTGCACAGCCAGTGCCGGCGTTAGAGGGACTGACACCCTGGGCAAGAATATTTTGGCGCCCACTTGAAGAAATCAAAATAGAGTATTAAAAATTTTTTTCTGAACCAATGTAAACACTGAACGTGTACTGAAAATTCCATATTCCATCTACCATCTTCCATCTTTCCTTTAGCGTGACCCAGAGCTAACGACGTGGACGTAGAAAGTTATGTATCTCCTATTTTATTTTTTTTTCATTTATAAGTATCCTACCTCCAGTACTACTCCAGTACCACTCCAGTACTAGTCAGTGGTAGCCTAGTGGTTAGGGGGCCCGCCTCTAGTTGCCGAGGGCGCGGGTTCAAACCTGGGAGGTACCAATGTGATTTTTCGGAGTCATATGTACTTTCTGAGAGTATTTAGACATCACTGACATACGGTGAAGGAAAACATCGTGAGGAAACCTAGACTTATAGTTTTACAATTATAAGTTTGAAATCACCAACCCGTCTTGAGCAAGCGTGGTGATTAATGCTCAAACTTTCTCCATGTGAGAAAGAGGCCTTTGCTCCACAGTGTCCGTCTGATAGGCTGATGATGATGATGATGATACCTCCAGTAATCGCCCCCCAAATTTGGCGCCCTGGGCCGTCGCCCCATCGCCCCCCCCCCCCCCCCCCAACGCCGGCACTGTGCACAGCATCTACCAATAAACAATATATATTGTGTATTTTACAATCAAAGAACGGTGTTTTAGACCTTTAAACTTAAAAAACATATACCGTCTTCTTATATGTCGGTTAAAAGCTAGTCAAGATTGAATGTTTTTTATTTTTTAAATCTAATTGTTAGCGCCTCCGTCTTCAACTTTTTATTATTTATATTGTTTGAACGCTACTGTTGACGCGACCGTGTTATTATGTGTCCACAATAATTATGTGAATCCAATCACTTGAACATCACTTTCATTTGTATGTTATTACTTTGTAGTGTGAAAAATGTTTTTCTTTATTCCATATTTGTCAATGTACTTTATAATTTTACCCGTGAGCACGCTACGTAAAGTTACACAGGAATAATTTTGTTTTTCTAAGAGTATTTCTGCCTTAGTTTTGTTAAAAGTAGTTGCACATATTGATTTAAAGAGCAAACTGCTGTTAAACTCGGATGCAAATCACGTGGTATTATTTTGTTACGGGAATTAAAACATTTTACATATTGCCTTCTCGAGAATAGTTGTGTAATTTATACATTCGTATTAAATAGTTGTGAGACAAAGCGTGTTCCTAAAATACAGTTTATTAGAGTTTAATGCTTTACGGATTTTGTTCTAAATAATAGCGAACGTCACGAACTTAAATTTTAAGTTAAACCCCAATTTGCTTATTTATTTTTTATTTGAAACAAATAAGATAATGATTTAAAAGGAATATTGTTATTTGTGTGAATAAAGTAGTAACAAGGAGTTCTTCCCACTATTCACTATTTTGTGAAATAACATTTCTGGTTTTTATTATAGTTATATTACTCGTATTAGGTGTAATGTATTTTTTATTTTACCACGGATGATGATAGTCCAACCCGTCTTGAGCAAGCGTGGTGGTTAATGCTCAAACCTTCTCCATGTGACAAGAGCCCTTTGCTCAGCAGTGGGCTCTGATAGGCTGATGATAGCTCGATGTCGACAATCTAATAGGAAAGTGAATGATGTTTTATTTTGGCTTCACATTAAATTTAATAACAAAGATAGATTGTTTTAGATAATATCGAATTTTCTAAACACCATTAAAAATATGATTTACATCCAGAATGTGTTGGCTGGAAAATGTTTTTGTACGTTTTATAATCAGTGTAAAATGTATTGTAGCATAATATATTTTTTAAAGTTTATAAACTAATGACGTCAGGTGTTGTGTGTTAAGTTTGGCGCAGAATAATGTGATTGTCTTTGTTAACGTTATCTCGGAGAAAAAACTATTTTGTTATACATCGAGTTGATAAGTTTATCATTTCTGTCGCGTGACATTTAATGATATGAATTAGATATATATTAGATATATGGTCCGCTTTATCATAGACCATCCAATCAAACAATCTGAGAGTAATCTCTAAAACAAGATTGAAAATTAGACAAGTTAAATACAGTATTTAGTTAATATGAATATCAGGATAAGTAAAAATAATTTACCTCACACAAACTGCAATTGTTGGAAAACTTCTACACTATGTACCGCTATATAATAATATACAGATTCTTAAATATAAAAAGGGTACCAGTGTATTCAAATTTGGCTGTTTATATTTTCCAAATACATGATGAGTGTTCCATGATATCAAAAATAGTTTAATGCTATAAAAATATATGACATCACGATTTTTTTACTACATTATGAAGCCCATAAGTCCGGCCGCATAAGGGATATTAACAAAAATATAACACTATTTACATACAATGATAATAGAAGTTCAATGTAATATTAATAAATGAACAGTTTTTCACGTTGAATAATTTTATACTTTATCTTTCCAACTATTAACATGACATAGTCACTTGTAGCAGAGCGAATTAAAGTGAGTAGTTAAAGTAAATCGATCGTAAAAAGTGAAACGGTGATAAGTGCAAGTAAAGTTTTTAAACATTACCCACTAGTACACTAACATAAATAAACAAAGCAACAAATAGATCTTCAACAGTTACATAAATACAGATTTTTCACGCTTTTTGGTAACAAATTTGTTAGTCTAGTGGTGCGAACTAATGAATTTAACCGTCGTGCGCAGGATCGAAACTCAGCGGAACATGTTTCAGTTTTTGTGATTCATATTTTTTCATTTCTTGCATTTGCTACTTCAACTATTCTCCAAAGATAGTACTTTGTGGAGTATCCAATAAAAATATTCCTATGTCTCAAAAACGTATTAAATGTTCTAATACAGAATGCAATATTCATTATTATGCAGATTGTATAAAGTACAACGAAAACGTCATTCATCGTTCTAAATGGGTGTGTCCAGTTTATTTACCAAAGCGTTCCAAAGCAACTAATAATACTAACAATCCGAGTCAAAGGAAAGTCCAATATGATCAAGAATTTGAATCCCCTCCAAGCGCTTCCAGTTTTTCATTCGAGCCTATTGCCAATGAAATACGTAGTTTCCGTAAGGAAATTAATCTTAAAGTCTATGAACAACAGTTGAGTCTTTATAAATTCAATATATGCCTATAAAAATGCAAAAAGAAGTAAAAGGCATTGTTAATAAATTTTCAGCATTACAAAATGATTTTGATGAAGTTACAGAGTGTTTACAATTTTTATCCGACTCCCACGATATCCAAATTAATATAAATGAAGACTACAAAAACAGGATTATTGAATTAGAAAGAGAGAATATGAATCTACGCACTAATATCACGGGACTCGAATTCAAAATGTCTTTAATGGAATAATAGTCGCGATATTGTAATTTGGAAATTCAGTGTGTTCCTGAACATAAATCAGAAAACCTCTCGATTGTATACCAGTTAGCCCGTGTAGTGTCATTTGATCTACACGATAATGATATAGTTAACTTTCACCGAGTAGCCAAGAGGAACACAGAATCTAAACAACCCCGTAGCATTATAATTAAACTATCAACTCCACGTAAGCGCGATGACTTCCTAGCAGCTGTTAAAGTGTTTAATAAAGAGAATCCTCAGTCTAAGCTTAACTCATCACATTTGGGTATTCGGGCGGCAAGGAACAAATTTATATTATGGAACATTTATCGCCGGATAATAATTAATAAGCGCCTACATGCTGCGTTTATTATTATTAGTGCATGTATCACAATTTTTAATGTTTTGTTTTCGAGTTAAATGTGTTATATCAAAATGTAAGAGGCATAAGAACAAAAACAGATGAAATGTATGAAGCAATTTTGCGCTCAAACTATGACATATTAGTTATTACCGAAGCCTGGCTTAATGATATTGTGCTTAATTATGAATTTATCGACAAAAGATATAATGTTTACCGTTGCGATCGCTGTTCTAACTCATCGAATAGTACAAAAAAAGATGTAAGTGCAGTACACATTGCAGTTAAAAACAAATTTCAAGTTAATAGAAAATCAGAATGGGAATCAACTTGTGAAGATATATGGTTAACAATTCGTACTCATGATAATAACTATTTATATTATATTCCACCTCCAACGGACTCAACATACATGAAAGCGCTTTTAACAAATTTAACTCATGTCAGACAAAGTCGTATGAAAGAAGAGTTGCCTCTAATAGTATTTTAATTTACCGAATATTGAATGGGAGCTTGATAGTGATACGCGTACATTAGCTCCAAAGACGTCGTTTAACCTTATTGAGAGTGATTTCGTGTCTGTAGTTCTTCTAGCCTCTTTTAAAAAACAAATTCTTACATCGTAAATATTTAGCTAAATAGTTTTCTCTCTCTTATTTTATTATTGCAGTTGTATTATTATTTTTATATATATATATTTTACATAAATAACTAGTTTCGCTTTAGATATTTAAAATTTTGATTGTACACCACATGATACTTATATGTATATATTTATACGCATGCATTCATATCCAGAAAGTTTCAATCTATATTCATGTTCAATTAAGTCCATGTTTATATTAAGTTTAACATTTTAAGGATTGTAACCAGTTTTATGAACCAATAAAAAAAGAGTTTTCCTCAGTTCTGTAATCCGTCATAAAATTTTCACTTTCTTATCTTAAAATAACTAAAGAACAAAATAATGATTAAAATTCAGTCAGTAAAACATAATAATACATGATCATTGCAGTAGTTATCAGTAGTTTGACGCGGGCTTTTCGGGAGTTTCAAAGTTTTCTTACATAAATTCCCGAAACAGTTAACATTAAAACCTTTCATCAAAATTGTGGGATTCCATAGAGAAAGCCCTATCCAAATAGCAATAGTAATGTTAAAAAAACATTGAGTTCATATCTATACAAGTCAATTACAGAACAATTTTTTTTTGAATTGGGTTAGAAAATATGCAATGCTTTTTCTATGGTCAAAATTTCAACCCACCTGTGAACTAAATTTCATCAAAGTTTTCGTGTTAAAGCGAGACAGACAGAGTTACTTTCCCAATTATAATATTAGTAAGGATTTTATTGTTAATGCTTATAATTTATGTATTTTTTGTACAATAATAATTTCATTTATATAAAAAGCTTATTATGACTGTTTAAGGCTTAACGGATTATGTTGTAAATAATAAGGTACGTTACGGAATTATTCAGAACTCTTCAACATGATAGATGTTTAAGTTGAATTCCAATTTGCTTGTATTTTTTGGTTCAAACAAAAGAAATAATGATTTGAAAATAGTATTTGTATTTATGTAAATGAAGTAGTAACAATGAGTCAGTGGTGGCCAAGTGGTTAAAAGGCCCGCCTCTCATGCACGAGGGCGCGAGTTCGATCCTGGCAAATACCAATGTGATTTTTAAAAGTCATCAGCCCATCATCAGCCCATTGGGAAACTACAGTATATACTGTCCTATAATAATATCCTTACTCCAAAATAAAAAAAGGGTAAAACTGTACTAAAATTTGGCTGAATATAATATATTCTAAATAAAGAAAGTGTTTCAGAATAAGAAAAATAATTTCGTGCTATATAAATATATAAAAGCATAATTCTTATATTTAAATAATGAAGCCCATAAATCCTGTCCCATAAGGGATAATCCAAAAAATATAACACTATTTACATACATCGATAACAAAATATAAATGAAATAATTAATAAATAAATGGGCAGTTTATCACTTTCCTAATTGTAAATACGATAAATACAAGATTGTAAAACGAATATAAAGGTAAATATATCAACATCAGTTCAGTCATAAATTGATTTGGAAACCCAAGGTAGATAACTAACAGTTATTAAAAAAAATATTTTAAGGAAAAAAATAATGTAAAAGATGTTCAACTTTTTCTTAATTGCTTCCAAAATCATTCTATTTTTCTTCTCAAAACCGATAAAGAAGTTGTTTTCTTACAGAATAAAAAAGCAGAGAGTAAAAACCATAATATTGTTTTGAAGTCAACGGTTCATTAAAATGATGGTCACGTGTAAATTCACTCCAACCATGATGGAGTTCCCTTGTTGCTCATAATATGCATTAATGTTTTTAAAGTAACAACTTCTATAATTATATCTTCTAAGAGGGTTCCTATAATGAATATAAAAATAAGACCCATGTTGGGGCTTTTTATTAAAAGAGTTACGGATAAGAAACAACAAAATTGTCACGTTTGAAGTATCTTTTGAAGTTATTAGATGTCTTAAAACTCGTAAAGAATTCAAAGACAATAAAAATGTTAGTCGTAGTTTAAGTGTTATTCTTAGGTTTTGTGTAGCTCTAATCAGATCTGTAACAAATGGATGTAACTTATTCACTACATAGTATAAAACAAAGTCGCTTTCTCCGAACCTACATCGGTATGTATGCTTAAATCTTTAAATTTAGGCAACGGATTTTGATGCATTTTTTTGCTAGATAGAGTTTTTGAAGAGTAGGTAAGGTTTATGTGTATAATAATATCCATGAAATACTCGAGAAATATTATTTTTTATGTTTCGAATGTGACGTCGTAAATAATAACATTTTTTCGCTTACACTGCAAACGCAAGCTAAACCATACGAGATTGATCAAAATAATGTACTATGTATTATACACATTGAAAAGGTCTAAAAAAATGCTCCAGGGTATTTATCTACATCTTATGATTATCCCACAATGATACTTTTCGTTATTTACTCTTAACGAAAATAATGGTTAATTTTCAAAGCGATTTCAACCGCTACAGCATTCATCCTTATCCAATTGATACTTTTATTACATTGTTTATTTAATGTAGATCTATATAATCTTTACAGTATATGATTTAAATTTTAAAACCGTGAGAATCCGGAGCGGGCCGCTATATTTTTATATACAACGTCCACAGTTTTTCTTTAGTGTATTTAGTATTAGAATTGCATCCAGGCGTCGCTAGTTTTATCATAAAGCAACAAGATTTATCAAATTCGGGTTCCCGACACAGTGTTCAAAATTATGTTATAACTCATTCTATAAATAAAAATAATATTCAGTTTGAATGACGATAAAGCTTAAATAAAATAATTGTCGAACACAGATCATACGTTATTACAGAAATCATTATTATATGTTTAGTGTAAATAAAAGAAGTGGGAAGCATATCAAAGTTTAACTGTGAACATAAGTATTACAATTATTAAATCAGCAACTGAGGTATTTGTAAATATGAAACCTCATTTAAATATTTCAATAAACCATCCATAATGATTTTTGAATATGTTTCTAAGTCTGCCTTCATGCTTAACGCTTTCACAGCTGTATGTTATACATATATTGAGGAGATTTGAGAGTCCACTTGTTTTATTTTGGATTACATTTAATATTCATTGAAAATACGGACTGCGTATCTAGTCACTATATTTATATCAAGTTTCATAAACTTAAGTATTATATGAATGGAATACAGACTGCTGTTAATTTAATCATAGTTTATTCATATAAAATATTTGTTGTAACATACTGAAACTGGTTTTTTTCTCAAAGTAACGATTTCGAGTTAGTCGAAGAATAAATTCGATAAAAATGTTAATCGATGTATGATGTTAATAAAGGTAAGTAAAAATACCCAATATATAAGCAATATATCTGTTTTCTTTATATTTGGCGTTAAACATAAATAAATTTCTGAACTAAATTATATAGGGTGGCAACCGGAGATTCCAGGAAAACTACGAAACTTCCTTATATATATATTGTAATAAGAATTACATATCAAAACTTATATCCTATACCTAAGACTACATGATTGCCCCGATGTTAGGATAGCAATACCATTCCATAGCTTGTGTGGTATCAGGAATCTTCTGGTTCACACGGCTTGGTGTTCGTTCCGCGGAGTCAGCGGCGTCACTCGTTATATGATATTTTATCCATACAACGATGTTGCCCCGGCGATGTTCATTCGTTTGTTAATATGTAGCACGTACGTAACAACTGTAACGACGTTTGTAAGGAAATGTAATAATTTTCATTTAAAATCTATATCTATAAATACGTTTTTCAGAAATTAACTTATTCTTTTGTTGAGGTTTTGTAACGTATTTTATTTATAATTTCAATCTAATAGTAATAAAAGTTATACATACATGAAATTTAATAAACTAGATTATATATTTATATACATATAAGATGGCCATCTGTAAGCACATGTATATTTTAATGAAAATTCTCGCTTGAATGAACATGAATTTCAGTGCTGTTTTGGAGACAAACACTTACATTTACCCGTTCAGTTTCTTAATATAAATTATTCAAAACAATACGATCTCTTTTTGTAAAATAAATTGAGATTCAATTTAAATTGTAACTTAAAAATAGTGTTGACATAAATTTCAATACAAAACCATAAAGAAAAGTTTATAAAGTTTGTCTCGTTTATAAGGCAGTGGACATTTATTACCAAGTTTTATATTCACTCTTTGTTACAGTATTTAAAATAATAATAGTCAATATATAATTAAATATGAACAGTACCCTTAGTCCAATATATTATATCCCCAATACAGTTTCAATACTGGTTTGTTAAATTTATTTAACATATGTATCAATGTATTCAGACATTGAAGCTAAACTGACTGTTTTTTTTTCACAAATATATCAGTATGTCTGTATATTATAACAGATAGTAATACGTGATTGCGGGTTCGGTTCCTGCTCGTGTTGACGAATATTTTATTCTGTATTTTCTATTACAATTTTAATTTATATAAATCACTATTGGTTATATATTGACAACATGTTGATATTAAAAGAAATTATAAATTTTTTTTAAAATAATAAATTATGTTGTAATATATTTTTATTATGTTGTGTCATTATCTCTTATACAAATTAATTAGGAGAGTGAAGTAGGACCAGGATGTTTTGAGAATCTGAAAATAAAGAAGATGATTATATTATTCAAATAGATTCAAATATTTCAACGCCATTATGCAATAAATGTAGATTATATTTCTTTTATAGCATTTTAAGTAAAATTATCAAAGTGAAACTCAGTATCCTCAATTTAATTTTCATCTTTGAATTGCATGTCGCTTTGTAAAGAGTAACATAGGGGGGTTAAAAAGGCATTCGGTTCCAATCACATCAAGTTACATGAGTTGATACTGTAAGTTGAGTATTTTTACTTATAAATACAAGTAATAAATAATAATGAATCTTATGGTCAATTTTTAACACATATTTATATGTTCCAATTATAAAGTTTAAATTAAAGATCGAGAAATATGTTCGTAGGTCATACGTGGAAAAATCGAGGAAAATGATAATTCTTTCTAGGTGTATTTATGCGCCACATGTAGATATTCCCTCCAACGCTCCATGACCTCAGGGATGAACTCAGTGAAGCGTTACTCTGTGATACTGAAACTTACCGTTGAGTAACATTCCATTGACACTGTTGAAAATCCAAATGTTGTTATGTGCACTCGCTTCTGGGATCTGAAATATTTTACAAACGTTTATTACAGTAAAATGTTGATAATAATAATTTTGGGATCACAATAATGTTACATTACCTGTGGATCATAATCAGTATAGATTTCTTTATGTTATCCGATGAAACATACCAACCGCTGTTATATAGAGCCTCCCCAACACCCGCGCTCTGAAAATAGCGAACGACTATTATTACTTTATTCAGTATACATTTTATTAATATAAATATATGAATAAAAAAACAAACAAACCGTGTCCACCAAATGTTGTCCGTACCAACAGAGTATCCATATTTGAGAAATGGCGGTTATGAAGAATAATTTATATATAAACTCATTCCATTTTTCAACGAACTGAAAAATAATTAATAATGAAGCGGTAAGGTAACAGAATTAAAGACTCATTTAATTTGACAAAAAAAAATAATTAAATATTAAAAGAGTGTTAAATCGTTTCAAAATGACAAGGAGATGCATCTTTGGAGTTTTTTCTCTCTTCGCTTCACAAAAGCTCTCGATACAAGTTGAGTGAAGCGACTTCATCGTTTCGGTACCGATTGAACACTTGGTTGTCGAGATCAGCTCTCTTGATGAATGACCTGAGTCGTCAGTACAATATTCCGCTCGTTTTGATCGCTTCACTCTATAAGTGAATATAATTGTTTTATTTCCACGGTCTTTGTACTCACCGCGCAGCAAAATAAACAGAAGCATATAATTATGGAGCTGTTTAGGAAATTCACAAGAAGTGAAAACGAATACATGTTCTCAACGTCATTTGACAATCTGGAAAAAAAGTACATAAGTTGAAACATAAAATAAAATTGAGAAAAATTGATAACTTTCCTTGAAAATATTACTCAGAGTTACGTTCTTACTCCAGTTCACCAAAGTTTGGAATTCTCATTAAAATGTTTGCTTTAACTGGACTTCTTACAATTGTTATTTCAAAAGAGCTTAAAAGTCTGTTGTTTTTGAGGTAATAAAGAAAAGATACTTTTATTAAAAGTCAAATATAAAATCGTGTTTCTTGAAGGTAAGGTATGCATATGTACAATACATCCTTGATTTATATGTGTGATATGTGCTTATAAAACTTTCAAAATGGATTGATAATTTAATTTGAATTTATTTTGATAAAAATATATGTATGAAATTGCCAGTTTTTGGTAATATTTCCAAATATTATTTATGGCCTGCATTTGTGCCAGATTCATAGCAACGACTGTCAAGAGCGAAGATTTTTACTTCAAAATACTTTACCGAATTAAAGATCTGTGTCTTTTAATAATTTCTTTAAGTTCTTCCTCTTTCACTTTGCTACTGTTGGTTGATGTGTCCTGATTTGGATAATTTAATAAATTCTCTTTGTTTTGATATCCTGAAATAAAAGTTACAAATTTAATAATTACGATCGATTATACAATTTATATATTTCGTATTAATCCTATTTGTATTCAAATTGGGTCATTATTGAATTCAATTCAAATAATATTCACAAGCTTGCGTCACGTACAAAGCGTCGAATTATTGAATGAAGGCTTTTTTATGTTCACTTAAAATTCTGACGAGGACGATTAATTTCTTTTTTCACTTTCAACCCTTGCGTGAAACCACGCTCACCTTGCAAACGATTAGATTAACATAAATAAATTATGCAAAATTAGTAGGACATGGATGATTTCAATATCTGACGATCTAGAGTATGTAAATGTTAGGCTTATTTAGGGTTCGTTTTATAATTCAATAGGTGTCCATGACGCTCGAGTAAATCCCCATGTAGCATCGTAAGCTCTCCTGCTATTATCTTATTATTTTGTTGGTACGAAAAAGATTTGAATCGTTTAAGAAACGTAATTCACATGTTGTATTAAATGTTACAAATAAAATATAAATATGCTAAAAATTACCAAGTGGATACGACTCCGGCAGTTGTCCATCAATAGGCACGTAGAACATCTTTTTAATCCTGACAGTGAGTAAGGAGAACTGTGTGGTGATGTTACTGAGGAAGGAGAAGAATAAGAGATCTCCCGCTAACATGAAGGCTGCAGAGAGGAAACCTGAAATAATAATGAATAAAAATATTAAGTTAAATAGTGAATAATAATGATATATTCTTACAGATCAGTACTTACTATTACAATTGAATTAGAACAAGGACTACACATGACTTATCACATATAGGATATTTTAGGCCGATGTTAAGATGAACATATAAAATACTTACAATGTGAGTTCTGCACAATCACCACGACTTCAAATATGACTTCCTGGTAAGGATCGAATGGTAGCCAGTAGAAGAAAGGCAATATACGAGGCGCCTCGATACCGAACAGAGGCTTTATAAGGTTGACGATAGATGGCAGGGTGAAGATTAGACCCAATATGGAATTACACGAGAAGTAAGCTGGGGGAGATGTTATATAACGTTTGTATGGAAATATAATGTTAATATTAATTAATATAACATGTATTACTATAATTATAGTCAATAGGAACTTATAAAATACAGGATTTGAACAAATGGAATTTCAGAGAGTAACAATTTCTACATCTTAAATTTTATTATTTTGTGACGTAAGTTTTTAAGTTTGTGGATACATTTTTTTGCAAAGTATATATATATCTCACCTTTAGTAACCAGTCTCAGTCTCTTCAAGTCCTTGTTTATAATAGTTTGTTCTTCATCTGTGACGTTGTCTCTCGGCCACATTTCTCTCAATTCACTCATCAGATTAATGAACACCGGCTTGTAGCGCTTTATTTTGTAGATTTTCGCCATGGCTAATTTGATAGAAGAAAAAACATAATATAATTTAATGATTTGTTGTAAGTATTGTTATGTAAATGCTGCAATAAGTTTGCGAAATAAATTACCTACCTATATTACCTACCAATAAATAACAGACAATGTCTAGAATCTTAGATCTATTCTGAAGTATAAAAACCTTTCAAAATCTCTAATTTATGAATACACTCTGAATAACTTATGACGGAAGACAATATAAGAAAATTCAGGAAACCGATAATGATACTTATTTAAACCAAAAAATTAACGTCGGTCAAAATGATAATAATAGTAAATATTAATATTGTTCAAAAATATCCATCCTACAAATGTATAAGGAATGCATACTATTCCTTCTATTTATATCTTTTATAATTAATGATATATAAGGTTTGTTCCCAGCGAGAGTCCGTCATAAATGTGTGTTATATCCAAGTATACGTACACACCAACAGATAGCCTACACACGGCATCATAGTAAACAACTCTACGAGGGTTCCTCCTGAGCCAGTCATCATCATACAGATGCTCTCCAGCACCGCGGCTGTCAACACATTCACCATCATGAACCAGAAGATCATGTTACGAATTGTACTGGAATGAAACATTATATACATACTTACATGGTGAGTAGAATACAGTAACGTGTTTAAAGAACATATTAAATTGATCTTGTTTTGTTGTCATTATAATAATTCTAATCAATATAAGATAAAAAAAAGTATGAATATTACCTAAATACTTTAGATTCCTTTTCGTCGGTTAATTTAAGACACAGTCCTCTTAATATTTTTATCGCCAGCTAGTAAGTTGCATCATAGTCGCCCAAAACGAACTTGTGAACCTGTAAGAGTTAAATTATATTAGGAATCAAATAACCTCACATATTATTAGTATATCATTTGATAATTTTACGTTATATCATGCAGGTGTGATATAAAATGTTTTTTAATAGCATAGGAAAAAAACAATACCTTCATATTGACCTGTTACGAATAAGAAAAAGAACCAAAAAAATAATCACAGCTTAAAAAATAAAGCATAATACGCAAAAGTTTTTATGAAACTAATATTTTGCGGATATACTACGTGACTTTATTTTTAATAAAAACTACATAACCGTAATCACGGGCACTTCAGATGTGAGTGTCTGTCAGTTGGTCTTGTTATTTTATCATCTACCGCCATCGATTTCATAATTTTCTGTCGTACCGCTCTGGATGCCGGCAGAATGAGCTCACGGTATCTCGAGGTCCTGCGGTGTGGCCACGGACATGGGATTATATATTTTTCAGAAGAGGATCCCAAGTGTTTGGTAGATTTCAGCCATATTCTCTATTGAAATTGGGGTGTTTTTTTTTAACTTCTATAGGCTATAGGCTATTGCTTGCTATAAAGGAACCTAAACGTCTGGAGTATGTAGTTTTTATCAAAAACTAGCGGCCCGGTACGTGCTTCGCTACGTATAAAGTGAAATAAAATAAACAAATCGGAACATCAAATTCATTTATTTAATCAAAAAAATATTTTATTTAAAATCGAAATCAATTGCTAGCTATTTACAACACACTTAATCCAAAACATTTGGATAAACAATATTTTTTGTTTTTCCATTTTGAGCATAAATAAACAAACGGCTGGGGGTACCGACTCTGGAACAGGCAACATATAACTGGCCATGTGAAAAACAATGTTCCTCCAAATTCACACCACAAACGTGAAGTGTTTGACCTTGGGCCTTGTTGATGGACATCGCAAATGATAAACGCACAGGATATTGTAAACGTTTGAACTCAAAAGGCATATCAGTTGGAATCATAGGTATACGCGGTATCAAAACAACTTCTCCTTTTGATTTACCAGTTAAGATCGTAGCTTCAATCAAATTTGGCAATAACTTTTTCACTGCCAATCTGGTTCCGTTACACAGTTTTGGTGGATTAATATTTCGCAATAATATAATCGAAGAACCAACTTTCAGATTCAAGCAATGCGGTGGCATACCAGCCGGCTCCAATGAATTTAAAAATTCAATTGGATAATTCATTGCCTCATCTTGATTCATAACACTGTCAATTGATTTATATTTCGTGACTACGCCTGGCAGTTTCGCTTGAATTTGAAAATTAATTTCATTGACATGAATGTTTTTCGGTGCTAAAATGGCGCGTTCTGTCAACCAATCATGATTTCTGTAATTCTGAACAATATTCGGAAAAACACATTCAATCAATTCATCTATCGATTGCGCAATTGTACAAAAATTGTTCGGTACAGCGATCAATCCGTTGGTTCTGTCGATTTGTATTTTGCCGTCACCAATTTCTAACAATTGTTTTGAGAACTCATGGGCAGCTGGATCATTTTGTAGGTGAACACGCATATTAATGTTTAGTGTCAATTTTTGTAGATATCTCCAAAGAACTGATGACTTCAAGCAGGCATTTATTTCATCAGCAGGAGTTGATCGAGGAATGACAGGCATTGTTTGACGAAAATCCCCTGAAAGTAATATCAAAGCACCACCAAAAAGCTGTTGATTACCACGTAAATCTTGCATTGTTCGATTGAATGCTTCTAGTGATTTTTTATTCGCCATTGTACACTCATCCCATAAAATAATTGACGTTAATCGCAGAACTTTTGCCATAGCAGAATTTCTCGATATATTGCAAGTTGGAGTTTCAATCACCTGTACATTCAATGGCAATTTTAATGCAGAGTGTGCGGTCCGACCACCTTCTAATAATGTAGCAGCAATTCCCGAAGATGCAAGTGCTAGTGCAATTTTCTGATCTGATCGAATAGTCGCTAAAATCAATGATATAACGAACGTTTTACCTGTGCCACCAGGTGCATCCAAAAAATATAATCCACCTGCATTATTGGAAACGGCTTGCATGATTGTATCATATACATGTTTTTGCTGAATATTTAATTTGGTTATATTCGATTGTACAAATAAACGCAAATCATTACAGTTGAATTCCTGCTCACGTTGCAATTCACGATCAAACAAATCATGCATGGGACGATTTGGTGCGGTCATACCCAATTGTACTAATGCTTTATTTGCAATCGTTAGACATATGTCTTCAATTATTATCAAAGCTTCGTTGCACATTTCCAAGGTAATCAACAAATCAGGATTTCTTGCATGATGACGCATACGAATTAAAATATCTTCTGCCATATAATTTTTATATTTGTTCCATAATTCAAGTGGATTTGATGGCATACATGTCGATAATATAATGGCAAATAGCATTCGTATTTGTTGTGGATGAGCTGACGTAGATGCATCATTAAGTGTTGAATCCCAATGTGCATCATCCTCCAACAAATGCAAGAGTTGACATGCTTCACGATATGTTTGACACAAATGACCGTCGACTGTTCTTAATTCTTGAAATGATTTTGGGCCATTGACGTTAACTAATAGCAATCGCAAATAAAAACACTCAGCATTGTTTGGATGTACTGTATACATTCTCCCAATTGCATCTGTTTTGAAAATGCCTGAATGCCCATCGACTGCTGTTCCTTGTTTACGTCTTTGAAATTTTTTTGAAGACACATTCCATGTATAGTACTGAGGCACTTCGGAATATAACAAATTTCTAGCAAATGTATCAGTTTCGCATAATTTGAAAAAAGCTGTCAACGTAGTCGCTGGTGGGTGTGCTGCTCTTTCCAATGCATTTGCTTCATTAAAATAAATACGTTGGCCATTCTCAAGATGCACAGCTAAGTGAACAACCACAGGATGTCTTTCGTGCATTGGAAACGACAGAATCCTCCAGAAAGCTTCATTACTACTAATATAGCGCCCCAGTTGATACTGAGTAATTTCATCATTTCTATTATCACCAGCTACACCGAAAACAGCCATATCGCTCCCTTTATTTACATACTTGCAAATATATTTAATGGATTTGACTGAATTACAATACTCCACATTTATATGAGCCTTGAATATTTTCGATAATAATGGACAATACGGAACCACCCAACGATTATCAACTTCAACGTCCTGGTTACGCATTCTAATGTTTGCCGTTTTGCCATTATCATTAGGTGATCTACGTCTATACAACGGATATCCGTCATTGCCCGTTATTGTGTCTGAAGTCAATTGTCTTGGGTATCGTTTCGAACACTTTCCATCAATCATACATGGCGAATTCATATTTAGTTCACCGCACGGACCATGTATCATGTTTTTAACGACAACATCAAATAACTCAGGATCAACAGTTTGATCAGGAATTTCACCTGATATAACGTTATCGATTTGATCCGGAGTTATTTTATTTACCAGCCAAATTAATATATGTGCGTGCGGCAATCCCCTTTTTTGCCATTCGATTGAGTACATATGGCAACGCACCTCTCCAAATACACTTAATTTCACAATTAAATCCATAAGTGCTGTCAATTTTCGCCGAAAAACACGTGCTGTAATGTCATGACGATCAGTTGTCGACTGGCCTTCAAATAAATTGTTCTTGATGTCATCCCACTGCGGATTACATGTAAATGTAATGAACAGATCCGGTCGACCGTATTTTCGTACATAAGACATTGCGTCTTGTGCATATTCGTTCATATGCCGTGGGCTACCAATATACGAAGATGGCAATATAGTTAAACGTCCGATGTCATTAACATTAGCATCATTCGCTATCGCATCTTGCAAATGAATATATTCTTCGGATCTTAATTTTGCTTGGTTGAAACGAATAAAATTAAGACGTTCAGTCTCTATTTTGGCATACATATCAACGATGTACTGATGATATAGTTTACCACATTTTAAGATATAATTTTGTTCTTGTGGACGAATTATCAATCGATACAAATAAAAATTCATGGCACTAACTTTTTTCTGTATATGTAGACCTGATAATAATTACAAAATGTGACTTTAGAAAGTTGTAGAAATGAAATGTCAACACACTAAAAATAAGTCAATTATTTACCTGTTCGTGGATCAATCATTGGTATATTGATATGGTAACCATCGTCACCTTTCCAATGCAATATTGGGTACTGTAATGCATCGTAACTACGATGAAGTTCCGAAACACGTTGCAATTGCTCATTTCTACGATGAAGTACAATATCACGGGATTGAAACTGATCACCAAGAATTACAATTGCAACCTCATCAATTGTTGGTGCATTAAATCGCCTTGCATGCTCTCCAAAAGGTGTTCTATCAGCTCTTATTACGATTTTGTGATTATCAGTTGGCATACGATCGAGAGCAATTTTAAACAATTGAACTAATGCGTTATGCTGATGGAAAAACCTTTGTAGCTCACGAATAATTTCTCGTCTTGTATTCGAAACAATTGCAAAACGTTGATCTAATTCACGATTTTCATCACCAATAAAATAAATTTGCAAAAATTGATGATCAGCGTCGGGGTATGGCAATAACGAACCAGCTTGATGATAAATCTGGCCCTGAATCTGTAACATGTATACAATTTTAGGTAAATCTTATATCAGTTTTTTTTAAATATACTTTATGCTTCAGATTGATACAAACATGGAATAATCCTGTTGAAGTATTTACCTTAAACGTCGGCATAAAATTATCTCTAATAATTTTAGTTGCACCAAAAGAAGTCATTTGAAATGCCGAATTGTATTGTTGAATATGACTCAGAAAGTGCTTC